GGTATTAATGATAGAAGTGGTACCAGAATTAATATTAGCAATAGATTAGAATCAGCAATAGATCTTGCATTAGTGTCTACAGATATTGCAGGAATCAGTAATTGGAAAGTTTGAAAAGACTCAACCATAGGAAGTGATCATTATCCAATGTTAATAAAAATGGGGTTTGAGGTTCGGATGTTAAAGAAAAATCATCATTTTCAGTTGTTTATTGATTATAAAAGATCACAAGCTCTTGTCAAAAGAACTGGAAAATGTGCAAAAAGGGTTTACTGGCAAACGTTTTGTAATTGGGTTGGTAGAGAAACAAAGATTTCAAATATCTGGGGTACAGTGTTTAACATTTGGGCCGCCACAGTCTGATATAGACACAGACAGAGAAAAAACAGAAAGATCTGTCAGTTTATCAGACCGTTCCACAGCTGTGCTTTCATACCGCCCCTAACCCAGCGCCATAGAGACACAAATTCTTTGTTAGATTTTTTTCGAAGCGTGCATCCCGCCCTCCATTATAAAAATGCTGCCCGGCTGCCCGGTGTTGTCAACTCAGCGACTCTGTTGCTATATTTAGCAACTTGTCAGATCCCTCCGGCGACTCTTTTTCAAAAAACTAGCGACAAAATCTAAAGACTTTTCTGGTGTCACTGGCGGCTTTTGGAGACTCTTTGGTGAAAGCACGTATCGTTCCTACCCTTGTCCTCCAGCAGCAGGTGCTGCCATGGGGCGCCTCCCCGTCCCACCCTGTCCTCCTGCTTCCACAGGAGTCCCTCCCTTTCAGCGCTGCAGTCAGAGCCACAGCATGCAGACATCCCAAGTCTTCCTGATATCGATAGTTGTTCACGGATGCCCGCGAGTCGGATAAATTATCCCGGATTTTAGACTATGGGAGGAGGTGTTTTTTATTGCGATAGAGAGTGAGCAGGCAGTACAGTAATTCATGCATCATGTGCGGATTAGATCTACTGCGATTGCCCAGGATTGCTTGTGAAACCTGTGCAGCGTTTCTGTCCAAAGCGATGCTCTGATCAACCAGCGTTCCAGGCAACTGGTTGATCAGAGAGCTGATTGGATCAGTCCCATAAGTTTCTCTGGGTTACTCTCTGGCAGTCACCTAGTTACCACTCAAAGCTGTGCATCCTGGGAAACGGCAGAGGTTCAATCCTCGAGTAAAAAAACAAAATATTGGACTAATTCTTCAGCAGAATATACTGAAGTATATCCAAGTCTAGAGAAGGGGAGGAACAGTGGCAGATCTAGACTAAATGTACCAGGGGGCCAGGAGGGGGCCAGCGTGTTTTCATTGGGGCCCAGAAAAGCATGAAATAAAAAACTGGGCAAGAGATTCAAATATATTAAGAGAGCTGCATGAAGGTCAATTTCTTATGAGGTCAATATACATTTAGAATTTAGGAATTTTACATATTTTTGACTGAATATAATTTAAAACTACCTTTTTTCAGAATAAGAAATCAAGCAAAACTGATAAATTCAACTGTAAAAGTTAGAGCAATTATTTTTTATTTGTTGTGAATAAAATCTTATGTCTTCAGTACGGGGGGTGGGGGGGGGGTGGAAGAGACAAGCATCTCCCTGAAATGAGTTTCTGGAACTTGGGATGTCTGAGCAGGTTTACCCTCCCGCCCTGAATGAAAGCCGGGGGGGCTTACATTCAGGGCGGGAGCGAGCGGGATGTAAATGTAAAATGTTATTTGGTCTAAAATAAATAAATGAATTTTAAATGTTTTATCTTAAATAACGGCTTTTGATTCACACAGCAACAGTCACTCAATCAACTTGTCGGTTGTGTTTTCCTCTCTAAGATAAGGATTTCTAGGCTCCTTAGTATACCACAGGGGAAAAAAGAAAAAGAAAAAAAAATGTGAAAAGTGGCCTCAGAAATGATCTTAAAGGGGAACACCTTTTTTTTTTCCATTGGCCCCATGATTTTCCGTTATTCCATCATGTTCTACTCACCCATATGAGTTTATGTCATTTGGAGCCGTTCTGAAGATATTCAGTTTGGTTATATCCAAGTAACGTCTTCCTATGGGCAACGACTTGAAGGCACAAACTAAACTGTTCATCATTTATTCTTTATGGTACGCCAGCATTCAGAACATGGAGGCCAATCACTGTCCCCCAGACATCTGCCGTTAGATTTTTATATTTATATCTTTTAAAAACAAAGCGGCGTGTGTATGACATCATCCAGACTGGAGTCATAACAGGCAGCCCGGGCCACAGGCGGCTACGCTCTACCCCTTCTATTCATTCTAGCTAATCTGTATCGTTCATTTGGAGAGCGAGATCATCTGTGGTAGCAGCACTAGACATCTTCCAGGCATGGGAGGAAAACTAGCAGCAGTTCAGAGGACAGGATGAATGAACGGTAGCCAGCGCGTGGATGATGTCATACACCAGTTGTATCATTTTATTTGATTGTATTTACCCCCCACACTTTAAAGGCCTGTCTGTGAAATTATTGTCTGACATATAACCGGTCCGTGGCGCAAAAAAGTTTGGGGACTGCTGCAATAGAGCACGTGTTCTATGAATGCAATCAAACCATTTTGGAATTGCTTAGAAACATGGATCAAATCAAAAATTGCTCTTCCTCAGTCTATCTCTAGAGATATGGTAACTTTTGGAATATTATTGAAAAACAAAACAATAGAACTCAGTTGTACCTAATTTTGTGTTTAGCAAAATTCTTTATTCATAAACAAAGAGTGTTGAGATCATCTCCAATATTTAACATTTTTTATCTGAATTCAAGTTATATTTGAAATCTCTTGAATGTACCGAGTCACGAATCCCTGACTGAAATACTGATGGTTTGCCCCCCGATGTTGCCATGGTTATTGTTGTTTCATTCGGGTCCTTATCAATAATGCCTTGTACTTCCATTTTGAAATCTGCCTCTGCTATGCCTTCCACTGGTTTGTATTGTTGCCTTACTTGCTTGGACTTACTTTCTTAAAGGAATAGTACACCCAAAACATGATTAGCCTTCATTTTCTACTCACCCCCATGCTTAACAACACTCTGGAGTACTTTTTTGATATCTCAAATGCATCTGGAGATCTGGGAGGCTTCTTGCTGTCTGCTGACATTCAAATAATGGAGGTCTATGGTGCCAGTGACAGAAAGGTCCATAAAAGTCCACAAAAAACTTGTCAATATTCCTCCATACTGCTCGTCCAATGTATTCCAAGTGTCCTGAGTGGGTAGCATCCAGAATTTACTCGAAACGAAGTCATTTAGAATGTTTTTAGAGCATAAATAGTAGTGTATAGGATTTCCTGAAAGCGCGCACATGCGCGTTCACGACGCTACGGAAGCCGGCAGACCAAGCCAGATGAAAGTGCGCATTCAGCGTCTGCTCTGCCAATAATGCAAGCGTAGAAGAAGAAATGTGCCGTTTACCTGTGCAAAGAAAGAAACAACAAAAGAAAAATGTCTGAGGACTTCAGTGTTGAGGAAGAGCATGAGTTCTTTGCCGAACTGAATGCGCTGGTTTGGTCTGCCGGCTTCCGTAGCGTCGTGAGCGTGCATGTGCGCGCTTTCAGGAAATCCTATACACTACTGTTTATGCTCTAAAAACATTCTAAATGACTTCGTTTCGAGTAAATTCTGGATGCTACCCACTCAGGACACTTGGAATACATTGGACGAGCAGTATGGAGGAATATTGACACGTTTTTTGTGGACTTTTATGGACCTTTCTGTCTCGGTCACCATAGACCTCCATTATTTGAACGTCAGCAGACAACAAGAAGCCTCCCAGATCTCCAGATGCATTTGAGATATCAAAAAAGTACTCCAGGGTGTTGTTCAGCATGGGGGTGAGTAGAAAATGAAGGCTAATCATGTTTTGGGTGTAGTATTCCTTTAAACAAAGTCCATAAAAAAAGAAAAAAAGTTGCACATATTTGGAAATGAGAATGGCAACTTAAAAATCCCAAAAAAATATTTTTTCTTTGTAATGTTTTATGGATAAACAACACAACAGTTTATCTTGTTTTTATTTTGTTTTGGTAAAAATTAGTTCAATATAATAACCTGTTAGGAGCTGTTTGTAAAGTAAAGCTTTAAAAAAATTAGGAGCAATATTTATTATTATTTTGCATGTTTTAAACAAGGGGCTTATTTTTTCACTCTGTTATTCATTCATTTATAAAAATCAAAGTTCCAAACTAAATATTTATTTTCTAAACTAAATAATTAATGTGTTAAATAAACATTTAGTTAAAAAATAAATATTTAGCTCAAGACTAAATATTTATATAACCAACTTAATTATATAGTTTGGTCAAAAAATATTTAGCTTGCTGAAACATTTTTTAACTGACAAACTAATTAATTAATTTGGGACTTTTATAAATGAATGAATGACGGGGTGAAAAATAACCCCTTTATTTTTCTCTAAACCATAAATATTTTTACGGCTTCACTTTACAAAAGGCTGCCCCATTATAACCTGCCTGTTTTCCGCTACCTTATAAATTAAAACTAAAATATATCCTGACATAGATCCTGTTTTCAGATGTTGCGCTAACACAGAGCGTAAAACCTGAGAACATGTTGTCAGTTTGACAGGCTGCTTCCCTCCAGACTCGCCCTCCACAGAGATAACGCCCTCATTCTTCACTCAGCTAAGAAGCCTTAAAGGTCTGATGTCCAAACTCTGGTTTGTTTGCTGTTGCGTGAGAACACAGAGAAATCAGATGGTTTGTTTTGCCACAATCTCTGCCTCAGATTCTGACAGCGGGGCACCAGAAGGCGCTGTTGAGCCACTGAGACCCAAATGGAGAATTTCTGATCAAAAGTTTACTTTGCTGGACCAACAACATAAAGCTCAAAGCGGATGAAAAATTAAAACATTCAGTTTTGCTGATTAAAAACCAGAAAGTGTTGCAGACGTTTGTTTTCATATCGGGTCATTACAGCATGAAGCTCCTCTTCTACAGGTTTAATTCCTGTGTGTGTTTTTCCTACAGGTATTGAAATTGCTAAGGCAAATGGAGCCAAGTACAGGCTGGGTCCAGAGCTGGAGATCTGGTAAGGCAGTCTGTGATGTTGGTTTAACGCTTTATTCTTCTCAACACAATGGCCAACAAGAGGGAGAAGGCCTGGACTAGACCTGGACTGACTATAAAACCTCATGTGATCAACCTGCAACATTTCCTAACCAACCAACCGTATCATCTGGATGTGGTCTGCCATAAAGGGGGAGAAGCAGTTAATGAGCTGGTCGGTCTGTCAGGCAGCATACATGCAGTAAACATGGTCAGGAAGCAAAGACCTCTGCAGGAACCTGCATGACGCAAACGTTACTGCCAACTGGAACATTTCCAGATGGCCTGACTCCTTCATTCTAGGGGTAGAAAGATGATTAGACTCAAGTCTGCAGGTCTTTTCTCCTTGACAGGGAAGAGCTCCCAGGTCATCAGTCACATCCAGTGTCTTTATAGTCAAAACACTAGAGAGGAAATAGATTATATGATACAAAAAGACTGTAGAGGCAGCAGGGATGCTGCCTTCCTCGGTTTTCACTCTGTTCTGTGTCTGATATTGAACCCTCAGCCTGGAAGGTTTGACAAATGATCTAATTATGGAAGTAATAAATCCAGATCTAACCTTCCCCAGATCTCTGCCACTGTTGGACAGCTTTGGCCAGAACATGGTGAATGGGTCAAGGGTTAGCCCTGGTATGGTCTCTCTGGGCAAAGGACTGTGGGTAAAGGGCAGGGCGATGGGTTGTCTTGAAGTCTCATTCCTGAATGTTTTATTTGTCTACTTGAACACTAATTTGGCTGGATGACTTAAATCCCCATGAAATGATAGCGATGCTTGCAGGCCTTCCTGATCTGAACAGTGGCCTGTTTTGTTATTGGACTTCCCTGCTTGTCACTAACTGTTTATGATGAGCACCATGTTGTAGTACTAGGCCGTCTGACGCTCCAGGGTGGAGCTCAGTGATCCACTCAGGAGTTGTGCCTCCAGTGGGGCCCACAGTAAGGGATTGACTCAACTTCCTCCAACAGGAAAGCTTTTCCCTAATTCCAGGGGCCATCCTCCAGCCAACTGTCATGGTTTCCCTGGAAACCAAAGACCTGGGAGCCCGAGTTGGACTCGTCCATCACCCAGGCAGAGGGAGGCAGCGGCAGAGGGAGGTGGTGCCACCCCATCGTCAGTGGCATTGAGTCGGACCCGTTCTCAGCATGTTGGACTCCAGCAAAGCTGCCTGCTGTGAACAGGCCTGAAAGCAACTTTATGGAAGGACTTTCTTAGTGCAGCAGAGCCATCTACTGGAGGAAGTGGTACTGTGGTTTATCTGGGTAGGACGACCACTGGAGATGAGCTCAGAAGGCTGTAGTCAGACAAAGGATGGGTGTCTTCAGAGAATACTTTTATGCTGCGCATTAGATGCTACCTGGACTAGACTGTCATTGAAGATAGAAACAGGTTCAGCTGAGTCAGAGCAGGCCTCCATCTTGGACCAGCCTGGAAGACATCAGCAGGAACCTTGGAGTTGAATGCCTTTTCCAGGGGAGGAAGCTGGAATCAAACCAACAGCTCTGCCATTGTCAGACGACCCATGATATCAGCTAGACTAGGATAGAGAAATAAAGTGGAGCTCCCATCAAATTCACCCCAAAGATCAGGAAATGTTCCCAGAGGATCTAAGACGTCCTCTGAAAGCTCAATCTAGTGATGTTTAACAGGACGGGGGGGGGGGGTATAACCTGTCCATAATAACGTGTTTTAGAGAGTTCAGCTTTTCACCTTTGCTATGTTTGTACTTCTGTCTCTTTCTGACAGCGGTTATGGCTGTGCAGACCATTTCTATGAGTCCGACACGTTGCTCCACAGCTTTGAGGTCCTGAAGACTCTTCTGGAATCCCCCACCACCCAGGACATCATCTGTGATGTAGGAATGTGAGTGCCAGCGTGAGACGGAGCCGTCCCAGAATCAGCTCAGCTCCTTTATACTCACTGCACACATCATTTAGATGTTCTGATCTAATTATTTCAGCCCAAAGTGAAATTCTTTGCAGTTAAATCCCCAAAGGAAGGCCATAGCGTTAATTTGAATGTGTACTAAAGGACCGTCAGACAGCAGGTTACAGAAATGCAGAAAGGAACATCGAGCTGACTGACTGCTGAGCTCCGCTGCTCAGAAAAACTAAAGCACCATTAAAGAAAAAGTCCGGTCAGCAAGGAACAATCAATGGATCATTATTTATACCTAAAACTATGTTTGTGCTGATCTTATGAATTTAGCATTAATAAAAAAAAACGAGAACAATAATTTTCGTTGCGATCACTCAGGCTGGGAGCGGCCATTTTTGCCGCGGACGCGGTCTACCTGGACTGGATCCTTCCAAGGATGCGGTCTACCTGGACTGGATCCTTCCAAGGATGTGGTCTACCTGGACTGGATCCTTCCAAGGATGCGGTCTACCTGGACTGGATCCTTCCAAGGATGTGGTCTACCTGGACTGGATCCTTCCAAGGATGTGGTCTACCTGGACTGGATCCTTCCAAGGATGCGGTCTACCTGGACTGGATCCTTCCAAGGATGTGGTCTACCTGGACTGGATCCTTCCAAGGACGCGGTCTACCTGGACTGGATCCTTCCAAGGACGCGGTCTACCTGGACTGGATCCTTCCAAGGACGTGGCCTACCTGGACTGGATCCTTCCAAGGATGCGGTCTACCTGGACTGGATCCTTCCAAGGACGCGGTCTACCTGGACTGGATCCTTCCAAGGACGCGGTCTACCTGGACTGGATCCTCCAAGGACGTGGTCTACCTGGACTGGATCCTTCCAAGGACGTGGTCTACCTGGACTGGATCCTTCCAAGGACGCGGTCTACCTGGACTGGATCCTTCCAAGGACGCGGTCTACCTGGACTGGATCCTTCCAAGGATGCGGTCTACCTGGACTGGATCCTTCCAAGGATGCGGTCTACCTGGACTGGATCCTTCCAAGGACGCGGTCTACCTGGACTGGATCCTTCCAAGGACGCGGTCTACCTGGACTGGATCCTTCCAAGGATGTGGTCTACCTGGACTGGATCCTTCCAAGGACGCGGTCTACCTGGACTGGATCCTTCCAAGGACGTGGTCTACCTGGACTGGATCCTTCCAAGGACGCGGTCTACCTGGACTGGATCCTCCCAAGGACGTGGTCTACCTGGACTGGATCCTTCCAAGGATGTGGTCTACCTGGACTGGATCCTTCCAAGGATGCGGTCTACCTGGACTGGATCCTTCCAAGGATGTGGTCTACCTGGACTGGATCCTTCCAAGGATGCGGTCTACCTGGACTGGATCCTTCCAAGGATGTGGTCTACCTGGACTGGATCCTTCCAAGGACGCGGTCTACCTGGACTGGATCCTTCCAAGGACGCGGTCTACCTGGACTGGATCCTTCCAAGGACGCGGTCTACCTGGACTGGATCCTTCCAAGGAAGCGGTCTACCTGGACTGGATCCTTCCAAGGACGTGGCCTACCTGGACTGGATCCTTCCAAGGACGCGGTCTACCTGGACTGGATCCTTCCAAGGACGTGGTCTACCTGGACTGGATCCTTCCAAGGATGCGGTCTACCTGGACTGGATCCTTCCAAGGACGTGGTCTACCTGGACTGGATCCTTCCAAGGACGCGGTCTACCTGGACTGGATCCTTCCAAGGACGCGGTCTACCTGGACTGGATCCTTCCAAGGACGCGGTCTACCTGGACTGGATCCTTCCAAGGACGCGGTCTACCTGGACTGGATCCTCCCAAGGACGTGGTCTACCTGGACTGGATCCTTCCAAGGATGCGGTCTACCTGGACTGGATCCTTCCAAGGACGTGGTCTACCTGGACTGGATCCTCCCAAGGAAGAGGTCTACCTGGACTGGATCCTTCCAAGGACGTGGTCTACCTGGACTGGATCCTTCCAAGGAAGCGGTCTACCTGGACTGGATCCTTCCAAGGACGTGGTCTACCTGGACTGGATCCTTCCAAGGACGCGGTCTACCTGGACTGGATCCTTCCAAGGACGTGGTCTACCTGGACTGGATCCTTCCAAGGACGCGGTCTACCTGGACTGGATCCTTCCAAGGACGCGGTCTACCTGGACTGGATCCTTCCAAGGACGCGGTCTACCTGGACTGGATCCTTCCAAGGACGCGGTCTACCTGGACTGGATCCTTCCAAGGACGTGGTCTACCTGGACTGGATCCTTCCAAGGATGCGGTCTACCTGGACTGGATCCTTCCAAGGACGTGGTCTACCTGGACTGGATCCTTCCAAGGATGCGGTCTACCTGGACTGGATCCTTCCAAGGACGCGGTCTACCTGGACTGGATCCTTCCAAGGACGCGGTCTACCTGGACTGGATCCTTCCAAGGACGCGGTCTACCTGGACTGGATCCTTCCAAGGACGCGGTCTACCTGGACTGGATCCTTCCAAGGATGCGGTCTACCTGGACTGGATCCTTCCAAGGACGCGGTCTACCTGGACTGGATCCTTCCAAGGATGAGGTCTACCTGGACTGGATCCTTCCAAGGACGTGGTCTACCTGGACTGGATCCTTCCAAGGACGCGGTCTACCTGGACTGGATCCTTCCAAGGACGTGGCCTACCTGGACTGGATCCTTCCAAGGACGCGGTCTACCTGGACTGGATCCTTCCAAGGACGTGGTCTACCTGGACTGGATCCTTCCAAGGATGCGGTCTACCTGGACTGGATCCTTCCAAGGATGTGGCCTACCTGGACTGGATCCTTCCAAGGACGCGGTCTACCTGGACTGGATCCTCCCAAGGACGTGGTCTACCTGGACTGGATCCTTCCAAGGATGCGGTCTACCTGGACTGGATCCTTCCAAGGACGCGGTCTACCTGGACTGGATCCTTCCAAGGATGTGGTCTACCTGGACTGGATCCTTCCAAGGACGCGGTCTTCCAAGGACGTGGTCTACCTGGACTGGATCCTCCCAAGGACGCGGTCTACCTGGACTGGATCCTTCCAAGGTAGTGGTCTACCTGGACTGGATCCTTCCAAGGACGTGGTCTACCTGGACTGGATCCTTCCAAGGATGTGGTCTACCTGGACTGGATCCTTCCAAGGACGCGGTCTACCTGGACTGGATCCTTCCAAGGATGTGGTCTACCTGGACTGGATCCTTCCAAGGACGCGGTCTACCTGGACTGGATCCTTCCAAGGACGCGGTCTACCTGGACTGGATCCTTCCAAGGACGTGGTCTACCTGGACTGGATCCTTCCAAGGACGCGGTCTACCTGGACTGGATCCTTCCAAGGATGCGGTCTACCTGGACTGGATCCTTCCAAGGACGCGGTCTACCTGGACTGGATCCTTCCAAGGATGCGGTCTACCTGGACTGGATCCTTCCAAGGACGCGGTCTACCTGGACTGGATCCTTCCAAGGATGTGGTCTACCTGGACTGGATCCTTCCAAGGACGCGGTCTACCTGGACTGGATCCTTCCAAGGACGCGGTCTACCTGGACTGGATCCTTCCAAGGACGTGGTCTACCTGGACTGGATCCTTCCAAGGGAGCGGTCTACCTGGACTGGATCCTTCCAAGGATGCGGTCTACCTGGACTGGATCCTTCCAAGGACGCGGTCTACCTGGACTGGATCCTTCCAAGGACGCGGTCTACCTGGACTGGATCCTTCCAAGGACGCGGTCTACCTGGACTGGATCCTTCCAAGGACGCGGTCTACCTGGACTGGATCCTTCCAAGGACGCGGTCTACCTGGACTGGATCCTTCCAAGGACGCGGTCTACCTGGACTGGATCCTCCAAGGATGTGGTCTACCTAGACTGGATCCTTCCAAGGACGCGGTCTACCTGGACTGGATCCTTCCAAGGGAGCGGTCTACCTAGACTGGATCCTTCCAAGGACGCGGTCTACCTGGACTGGATCCTTCCAAGGACGCGGTCTACCTGGACTGGATCCTTCCAAGGACGTGGTCTACCTGGACTGGATCCTTCCAAGGACGCGGTCTACCTGGACTGGATCCTTCCAAGGACGCGGTCTTCCAAGGACGCGGTCTACCTGGACTGGATCCTTCCAAGGACGCGGTCTACCTGGACTGGATCCTTCCAAGGACACGGTCTACCTGGACTGGATCCTTCCAAGGGAGCGGTCTACCTAGACTGGATCCTTCCAAGGATGCGGTCTACCTGGACTGGATCCTTCCAAGGACGCGGTCTACCTGGACTGGATCCTTCCAAGGATGCGGTCTACCTGGACTGGATCCTTCCAAGGACGCGGTCTACCTGGACTGGATCCTCCAAGGACGTGGTCTACCTGGACTGGATCCTTCCAAGGACGCGGTCTACCTGGACTGGATCCTTCTAAGGGAGCGGTCTACCTGGACTGGATCCTTCCAAGGATGCGGTCTACCTGGACTGGATCCTTCCAAGGACGCGGTCTACCTGGACTGGATCCTTCCAAGGACGCGGTCTACCTGGACTGGATCCTCCAAGGATGTGGTCTACCTGGACTGGATCCTTCCAAGGACACGGTCTACCTGGACTGGATCCTTCCAAGGGAGCGGTCTACCTGGACTGGATCCTTCCAAGGACGCGGTCTACCTGGACTGGATCCTTCCAAGGACACGGTCTACCTGGACTGGATCCTTCCAAGGGAGCGGTCTACCTGGACTGGATCCTTCCAAGGATGCGGTCTACCTAGGCTGGATCCTTCCAAGGACGCGGTCTACCTGGACTGGATCCTTCCAAGGACGCGGTCTACCTGGACTGGATCCTTCCAAGGGAGTGGTCTACCTGGACTGGATCCTTCCAAGGACGCGGTCTACCTGGACTGGATCCTTCCAAGGACGCGGTCTACCTGGACTGGATCCTTCCAAGGACGCGGTCTTCCAAGGACGCGGTCTACCTGGACTGGATCCTTCCAAGGACGCGGTCTACCTGGACTGGATCCTTCCAAGGACACGGTCTACCTGGACTGGATCCTTCTAAGGGAGCGGTCTACCTGGACTGGATCCTTCCAAGGATGCGGTCTACCTGGACTGGATCCTTCCAAGGACGCGGTCTACCTGGACTGGATCCTTCCAAGGATGCGGTCTACCTGGACTGGATCCTCCAAGGACGCGGTCTTCCAAGGACGCGGTCTACCTGGACTGGATCCTTCCAAGGACACGGTCTACCTAGACTGGATCCTTCCAAGGACACGGTCTACCTAGACTGGATCCTTCTAAGGGAGCGGTCTACCTAGACTGGATCCTTCCAAGGATGCGGTCTACCTAGACTGGACCCTTCCAAGGACGCGGTCTACCTAGGCTGGATCCTTCCAAGGATGCGGTCTACCTAGGCTGGATCCTCCAAGGACGCGGTCTACCTAGACTGGATCCTTCCAAGGACACGGTCTACCTAGACTGGATCCTTCTAAGGGAGCGGTCTACCTAGACTGGATCCTTCCAAGGACGCGGTCTACCTAGACTGGATCCTTCCAAGGACGCGGTCTACCCAGACTGGATCCTTCTAAGGGAGCGGTCTACCTAGACTGGATCCTTCCAAGGATGCGGTCTACCTAGGCTGGATCCTTCCAAGGACGCGGTCTACCTAGGCTGGATCCTTCCAAGGACGCGGTCTACCTAGGCTGGATCCTTCCAAGTACGCGGTCTACCTAGGCTGGATCCTTCCAAGGACGCGGTCTACCTAGACTGGATCCTTCCAAGGACGCGGTCTACCTAGACTGGATTCTTCCAAGGACGCGGTCTACCTAGACTGGATCCTTCCAAGGACGCGGTCTACCTAGACTGGATCCTTCCAAGGACGCGGTCTACCTAGACTGGATCCTTCCAAGGACGCGGTCTACCTAGGCTGGATCCTTCCAAGGACGCGGTCTACCTAGGCTGGATCCTTCCAAGGACGCGGTCTACCTAGGCTGGATCCTTCCAAGGACGCGGTCTACCTAGGCTGGATCCTTCCAAGGACGCGGTCTACCTAGACTGGATCCTTCCAAGGACCCGGTCTACCTAGGCTGGATCCTTCCAAGGACACGGTCTACCTAGACTGGATCCTTCCAAGGACGCGGTCTACCTAGACTGGATCCTTCGAAGTCCTTAAAAATAAGGAGACCGGAAGAGTTTTGGCTGTGAATTCTAACAGGTCTACCCTTCGGAGGATTTTACTGCCGTATGCTCTGTTGCTTAGCAACCGTGAACGTTGACACACAAAGCAGGAAAAGAAGGAAAACCGAAGTTTTCAAAACTGTTTGTTTATTTATTTATTTTTTATTATAAAGTGAACAAAGACTGATGAGAATCCAGAGTGAAATAAAGGTTCCAACCACCGGGAGCAGGAACAAATCAAATCAAATGTAATGATAGAAACCTTAGTCAGTTAAATAACCTGCTGCTGTCATTCTGCACATCTCTGCTGTTGCTGCTATTTTCAAATTATTGTAAAAATGTCCATAGCTGAATATTGGTTATTTATTCTCCAGGTGCAGTTTTATATTGTTAAAACACTTTACAGTATTTTATTGTTTATATTTTAACTCCCCTATTATGTTATTCTTATATATTTTTCTAAGGTCCACATTTGTGTGACCGCACTGGAAAACGTCTCAAAGTCAAACTTTTCTATTTGATGCTTTAATGAGGTGCTGTGCTCGAGCGAGCAGGCAGATAGGGAGAAACTTGAATTAATGCCGTTTAATCTGTGCTGGTTATAAGAACTCTGGTTTAATGGTTGAAATAAGTGTGCTGAGAAAAGCTTCAAGAGATTTTTCTGTCTTCTTTTCTTTTTATCATGTTTTCCTTCTCTTTCTGCTTTAAGGTTATTTTATAGAGAACTGCTCACATTTAACTGTGTGTGGTCACATGGTTGAGAACCCATTGTTACGAGCTGATTCATATACGAATGGTTCATCACTCTGGTCCGATCCACCCTCCTTTGGTAATAATTTAAATAACCAGAGATAAATAGTTATTGATTGATAATCAATAGCTCTGCTGATAACTTAGCCTGGGTCACTAGATTGGTGGAATAGCTGGATTTTAACAACCGGTCCAGGAACCATCCAGAGGTAAAAGCCATAAAACCTGGTAAGTGTGCAAATTAGAGCTACAATTATTCAACTAAGAACGCTAAATTGATTTCTCCTCAGATTTTGAATAAGTTAAATAAATAACTATAACTCCAGTTCTAGTTAAATTATGTATTCATTATATGCAGGATATCATTTTGCACAGCACTGACTGGACAGACTGGATACTTTCCTTCTTTTTCTGTTTCACTCTCTTCTTCTTCTGTAGTCAGTGTGTGGCATAAAACCCAAACATCTTTTACAAAGGTGAAGGAGCATGCAGAGGTTTAAGGCCCTGTAGTTTTGTTCAGATGATGATGTTTTTGCTTCTCTCAGGCCCATCATGCATCACAACGTGCGCTACAACTGCCGTGTGATCTTTCTGAACAGGTATGTCCGTCCCAGCGCGGCTGCAGGAACTACGCAGCACAATGAGCTTTCTGTTGCCCAGAAGAAACTAAGTCCGTCCTTCTCTCTTCCTGTAGAAAGATCCTGCTGATCAGACCCAAGATGCTGATGGCCAACCACGGCAACTACAGAGAGATGCGGTGGTTCTCACCTTGGAGTCGGCTCAGGTGGCTCTATGCTCCTCCGTTTATCTACAGTGAAATGCAGAAATGTCTCCATTTAGGTCAGCGTTTCTCCCTGAAGGTTGGTGTAGCTGCATCCTGGTGGTTGTCTGTTTATCTGGGCTGTGTGGGAACAGTGCAGTGAGTGGAGCCCGACCCCCCCAACCCCCCCAAATAGGCTAAATCTGGTCTCTCCATCATATACTTGATTAATAGTTGTTAGAAACTGGGCTGTTTGGTCAGTCTGATGTTCTTCCAATCGTGCTCAATAGTAGACGTTACAGAACCAGTCTGCAATGTCGTCTCAGCGATCTGAAAGGTACGGTTTTTCACCTTTCAGCCATATTTAGACATCGTTTGGACATGAATCATGTCGTCTTTCGACTGGTTTTTGCTTGGTGGGAAGTGACTATGTTTCTATTCAGTTTATTTCTATAGCTCCAATTCACATCATGTCATCTCAGATCACTTTCCAGTTCACCAGATCATCCAGTCAGATTGATTCAAAGTTTTCTATCTAAGGAAAACTAGCTGATTGCATCGACTCATTGACTCTTCAGCAATCCCTCACACTAAGCATGCTTGTAGCGACTGTGGAGAGGAAAAACTCCCTTTGAGCAGGAAGAAACCTCCAGCAGAACCAGGCTCAGTGTGAGCGGCCATCTGCTGAGGCCGACTGGGGTTCAAGGAGACAGAAGCAGACATAGAAAAAGAAGCATAGATACAAAAGGCAACTGTCAACCAGCTCCACAGGCGGCCCCGTCCAGGAAACACAGCCAGGCAGACGAGCTCCGAGCCAGCTCCCATGTCAGAGGATGAAGAGAGCACATCCAGTTAGTCACAGTCAGAGAAACAGGACTACATTGGAAAACAGGCCAAGCTCCAACATCTAGAAACAAAGGTGTTGATGGCAGCAGCACAGCTGATATTTCTCTCTAGGATGGAGTCACAGCCAAACAGGAACAGACCAGATGAAGCTACTATGAGAAAAAGCAGAGAGAGCAGAACGTTTGAGATTGAACTAACAGATTCTGCAGAGTGGGAGAATAGAGATAGAATGAAGCAGAATGATGAAAAAGGGGTCCATATGTCCTCCAGCAGTCTAAGCCCATAGCAGCATAACTTTAGAGATATCATTGGATTTTATCATTTTTTTCTAACCATGGAGGAGCTCCTTTAGCTGGACTATTAGACCACTCTTCTTTTGCAGACTTTTCCAGCTCTATCGTCTTTTGAGCGCCTCCTTCTTCTGCCATCTCTTGCTGCTGTTGTCTCCAGTGCTCCCCAGAGCTTTTCTCTGGGTGATGAATGTTTGGAGTCATTGTGGTTCTGGGACACTCTAGGAACAATCGAGGCAGAAAAACTTCCTTGGAGCATCTTTGATCCTCCACCAGATTTGACTCTATTTTGAATAAATGCTGGAATGACTTTCTTTACCCAGAAACAAACCTTGTGGCAAACAGGAGACTGGCTCTGTAGTATCTGAGTGTTAGCCAATGCTACCCTCCAGGGTAGGGCCCTCTCAGTCAGACACAGATGAGCTGTGAGAGGCTCTGGATCCACCTATCCTACCCTGCAGCCCCTCATTATTTACACTCCGTGTCGTCCAGGGAGGTCATCAGTGGAGCAACGTAGAGTTAGGTGTAAAATGATGTCCCTCTGCCTTCTGTGGTCCTCTAAAGAAGTGAACAGATGTTTCCTGGAACATTGCACCAAACCTCTGGGAGAGACGCTGACTTTAGTATGCTTACCCGCTGTTATTTAGTGCTGTTCAGTGATGATTTGAGTCCAACCACCATGTTTATACCATGCTCTGTGATCCCTACAGGCATGTGGAGGAGTACTTTCTGCCCAGGATGATCCAGGAGGTAACGGGCCAGGTAAACAGCCGTGGTGAACCCAGCAGCTGAACATCTGTGGGCAGATGTCCTGACCGGGTCTGTCTATCTCAGGACACCGTCCCGTTTGGAGACTGCGTGCTGTCAACCAAGGACACCTGCATTGGTACGGAGATCTGTGCGGAGCTCTGGAACCCGAACAGGTAAAGGTCCCACAGGTCTCCTGTGGTGATGCTGCAGAAGATGTCTGAGCCTGGCATGCAAGATCAGCATTAGTTCTCTGACCTCTAAGTACGTTAAAAAAGGCAGGACTCAGCGCTGATGAGGGGCTCTTCTTTCTCCCTCAGCCCTCACATTCAGATGGGGCTGGATGGTGTTGAGATCTTCACAAACTCCTCGGCTAGCCACCATGAGCTGCGTAAAGCCCACCAAAGAGTCGACCTCATCAAGTCGGCCACCACCAAGGTACCCTGCACTGCTCCTGCACATTTAGGGCCTGATCTTCTCAGGGTTTGGAAAAGATAGCAAAGCTGATCCACTAACCAGGTTCAAACCAAATTGTGAGTCTAAAATCGGTTTAATAGCGCTGCTAACGTTTTTTAGCTTCATGAATTTTCATATGATGATGAAAAAACCAGAGCGGAGGATCTCCACATGTTAATACTTTAGTTTCTGTCTATATTTGGTGCGTTTGGAAGTGTGTGTTTGTGCGTTTGGACCCTACATTGTCCCTCATTTGAGGGACAAAGGAGGGTTAACATGTTAACACGGTTGGACTGTCTGACTTAATGACATCATAGTGATATGAGATTAAAGGTAGAGGGCTAAACTTGAACAACCGGCACCAAGCAGAGCCTGACCACTGCAGCATGCCAGTAAAGCATCGATCATCATGTAGCCTCTAAAGCACCCGGACAGTTCCAGGTGTCCTTCAACCTTTAGATTCCTCCTCAGTCCAACACACCTGAATCTAATGGAGGAATTACAGGTGCTGGTCATAAAATTAGAATATCATGAAAAAGTAGATTGATTTCAGTAATTCCATTTAAAAAGTGAAACTTGTATATTATATTCATACATTACATACAAACTCATATATTTCAGATGTTTATTTTGTTTAATTTTGATGATTACAAATGACAACAAATGAAAATCTCAAATTCATCATATCAGAAAATTAGAATATTACTGAAGACCAATAAAAACAAAGGATTTATAGAAATGTTGGCCAACTGAAAAGTATGAACATGAAAAGTATGAGCATGTACAGCACTCAGTATTTAGTTGGGCCTCCTTTGGCCTGTATTACTGCAGCAATGCGGCGTGGCATGGAGTCGATCAGTCTGTGGCACTGCTCAGGTGTTATGATAGCCCAGGTTGCTCTAATAGTGGCTTTTAGCTCTTCTGAATTGTTGGGTCTGGTGTATTGCATCTTCTTCTTCACAATACCCCATAGCTTTTCTATGGGGTTAAGGTCAGGAGAGTTTGCTGGCCAATTAAGAACAGGGATACCATGGTCCTTCAACCAGGTACTGGTAGCTTTGGCACTGTGTGCAGGTGCCAAGTCCTGTTGGAAAATGAAATCTGCATCTCCAAAAAGTTGGTCAGCTGCAGGAAGCATGAAGTGCTCTAAAAGTTCCTGGTATGTGGCTGCGTTGACCCTGGACCTCAGAAAACACAATGGACCAACACCAGCAGATGACATGGCACCCCAAACCATCACTGACTGTGGAAACTTTACACTGGACTTCAAGCAACGTGGATGAAGTGCCTCTCTTCTTTTCCTCCAGACTCTGGGACCTTGATTTCCAAAGGAAATGCAAAATTTACTTTCATCAGAGAACATGACTTTGGACCACTCACCAGCAGTCCAGTCCTGTTTCTCTTTAGCCCAGGCAAGACGCTTCTGACGCTGTCTGTGGTTCAAGAGTGGCTTGACACAAGGAATGCGACAGCAGAAACCCATGTCTTTCATACGTCTGTGTGTGGTGGTTCTTGAAGCACTCACTCCAGCTGCAGTCCACTCTTTGTGAATCTCCCCCACATTTTTGAAGGGGTTTTGTTTCACAATCCTCTCCAGGGTGCGGTTATCTCTCTTGCTTGTACACTTTTTTCGACCACATCTTTTCCTTCCCTTCGCCTCTCTATTAATGTGCTTGGACACTGAGCTCTGTGAACAGCCAGCCTCTTTAGCGATGACCTTTTGTGTCTTGCCCTCCTTGTGCAAGGTGTCGATGGTCGTCTTTTGGACAACTGTCAAGTCAGCAGTCTTCCCCATGATTGTGTAGCCTATAGAACTAGACTGAAAGACCATTTAAAGGCTTTTGCAGGTGGTTTGAGTTAATTAGCTGATTAGAGTGTGGCACCAGGGGCCATCAATTTTGAACCTTTTCACAATATTCTAATTTTCTGATATGATGAATTTGAGATTTTCATTTGTTGTCATTTGTAATCATCAAAATTAAACAAAATAAACATCTGAAATATATGAGTTTGTATGTAATGTATGAATATAATATACAAGTTTCACTTTTTAAATGGAATTACTGAAATCAATCTACTTTTTCATGATATTCTAATTTTATGACCAGCACCTGTAGCTGCTCTGGATGCAGCCAGTTTCTCCTCCTTAACATCGGATTGCTGGATTCAGGTGTGTTGGACCAAGGAGACTGTGTGGGACAGGTGCAGGAACCAACCGTTAGGACCTGGATGGTCCTCTCCTGTTCTAATGCTACGTTCAGACCTAAAGCAGGAGAAGCAGCTAGTTTCTCAATGGTTGACGCGCATCAAGGCGCAGCAAAACGCCCCGCAGCGCATTTTGAGCAGCTGAAGCAACGCATCGGGAGCTTCTGAGCATCTGACGTGCGGGAAACGCAGCAGCTGCTGGAGATGGAAAAATTAAACTGCTCACTGCTAAGCTGCTGCTCATTTACTGTCTGAAAGCTGTACAACATGAAATTTATTTTTTTCTATACACAAAATGACAATAAAATTTGTCTAAGAATGAACACGTGAATTTGTATTTTTTTAATAGATTAAACCGTTTAAATGTAATTAATGTGGTTTGATAGCATTTCTGATGCCGAGGCTAACTATGTGAGCTTTGCTTCAGTTATTGTTTCTTCTAGTATCTTCATAACAAATGTCACATTGGTCTCAGCTTGAACTAAAGAAACATTTCTTAACAAATAGAGATTAATCTCTGTGTCTGATTAAGTGATGAGATGTTTCTGTCCCAGTGTAGCTTTAGCTGCTTAGTTTCTGTGCAGGAGGAGAGCAGCGCCCTAACATCTCGTGTTGGGCTGTTTTAGAGCGGAGGGATCTACCTGTACGCCAACCAGAGGGGCTGTGATGGAGACCGACTGTACTACGATGGCTGCGCCATGGTGGCCATCAATGGAGATGTTGTAGCTCATGGAGCGCAGTTCTCCCTGGATGAGGTGGTAGGTATGAAGACACAGATTAGACCGACGGGCTAATGTGAGGGAATCACCCTGTTTTCTCTATGTGCCTGTTATAGGAGGTGATCACGGCTACTCTGGACCTAGAAGATGTCCGCAGTTACCGTGGAGAGCTCTGCCAGCCTCACAAGGTTAGAAAACATCCAGCAGCATCTGGATGCATCATCTGCTTTGCTGATTGAATCCATGTTCATCTCCAGAGTCCAGATTGTTGGTGAGTTCAGCCTCAGAGTGAAGCTGCTGATGAGTTCCAGGCAGGTTCTCTAAAGAACAGCAGCGCTCGCTGTTCTTCACCCCCATGGAATAAGAGGAGCAGTGAGCTCTGCATCTAGACATCACCTGTCCTGGGGGCACGTCATTTAGAGATCCATCCTCGAGAACCCAGAATGGTCTAGTTACACCCCAACCCGTCTGAACAGAACCTAAACATTCAGTTAAATTTTTAGGTTGTTTTTATTTTAAGCTTTAGGCATAATCCTTTTATCGACATAACTAACAGACAATACTACTAAATATCTACTACTTGGGGGGTTGGGGTGGGGCATCATTTTCATCTACGTCTCCCTGATCTTCTGGAGATGAAGGTCCAATCCCAAACTGGCCCCTAAACACTAACCCTGAGCACTAGCCCTCCATTTGCGCTTTCCCGTAGAGGCTCTGCCACGTTAAACATCTTCTGTTTTAACTCTTACCCATAGCTCTCTACCCCTCTGCTACCCTTTATGCACTTCCCTCTCTCTCTTTGCTGTCACCTCTGATTCTGACTAAGGATTTTCCTCTAGAGAACTTACTGTCCTATTGATAATAACTGTAACATTGTGTCTACCTTGTTAGTAGTTTTGGAAAAAGGCATCTTCTAAATGCATGAACATTAAAGGGCCATTCCAAATCGCGTAGTGGGTAGGGCGAGTGGACCGTTAAACCCCTAAATAGTGAGATTGCATCAGAGCAGGGACGCTGGAATTGTTTTCAGCGGGTGTAATAGCAGCCTAATTGTGGAGGAAACGTTCCTCCAAATGTTCTGCTGGTTTGCTGCATCTTCATACCACTGACAGAAAATTACAAGTTATATGAAAAAAAATACTGGATTAGTTAGTGTTTAGGGTTAGAGATTAGTGCTTAGGGTTAGTGTTTAGGGTGAGTGCTTAGGTATAGTAATTAGGGTGAGTGCTTAGGTATAGTAATTAGGGTGAGCGCTTAGGTTTAGTCTTTAGCATGAGTGTTTAGGGATACTGTTTAGGGTGAGGGCTAAGGGTTAGGGTTTAGGATTAGTATTTAGGGTGAGAGGTTAGGGGTAGCGTTTTGTGTGAGTGCTTAGGTTCAGTGTTTAGGGTGAGTGCTAAGGGTTAGTGTTTAGGATTAGTGCTTAGGGTGAGTGCTTAGGGATAATGCTTATGGTGAGTGCTAATGGATTGTGTTTATGGTGAGTGTTTAGGATTAACGGCGGCGCTCTAAAGCAGCGGCCAAGAACGGCTCCTCTCGCAATTTCAATAATTTTACATAATATGCCACTGAATAGGATACAGACTAGACTTCAAACCCGCATCTATGAACGCCAACGTCTGCTGAAGCTACGGTCACAAAAATTTTTAAAATTCAGTCATTTTTGACCGTTTAAAAAGCTGCTGAGTTCTACAGATGGAACAGCGGTACGTAACTGCTGGAGGAAGAGATGTGCGACACGGAGAAAGCGAGGATGCAGAGGGGGGCTAACTGTGAAGACGTTCCACACCAGGGGGAGGAGGCACTAAACCTGGACGTAGCTGAAGTGAGGAAAACTCTGAGGAGAGTCAATCCAAGGAAGGCCCCAGGGCCTGATAACATACCTGGGCAGGTGTATAAGGAGTGTGCAGATCAGCTGGCTGGTGTCCTCACAGACATCTTTAACACCTTGCTGGACCAATCCATAGTGCTAGCATGCTTCCAGTCTGCCTCCATTATTCCAGTCCCAAAGAAGCCTCAGGTCACCTCACTCAATGATTAGCGGCCTGTCGCTCTGACTCCCATCATGATGAAGTGCTTCCAAAGGCTGGTTAAAGAACACATCGTCTCCAGTCTGCCGCCAACATTCCACCCGTTCCAGTTCGCCTACCAACGGAACCGCTCCACTTAGGACGCCATCTCTGCTGCTCTCCACCTGAGCCTGGCACACCTGGAGGAGAAGAACACCCACGTGCGGATGCTGTTCCTGGACTTCAGTTCAGCTTTAAACACCATCATCCCACAGCATCTGATGGGCAAACTGGAACAGCTGGGCTTCAATACACCCCTCTGCTATTGGCTGCTAGACTTCCTCACCAACAGACCTCAGTCAGTCCGGGTCGGACAGAACACCTCTGATGTCATCAGTCTAAGCCCCTCCCCTCAGGGCTGCGTCCTGAGCCCTCTGCTGTTCACCCTGATGACACACGACTGCGTCCCCAGGTTCACCACCAATCACATGGTGAAGTTTGCAGACGACACCACGGTGGTGGGCCTCATCAGAGACGACAACGACCTGGACTACAGAGAGGAGGTGGAGCAGCTGGTGGTGCAGGGATAACAGCCTGATCCTGAAGGTGGAGAAGACCAAGGAGATCATGGTGGACTTCAGGAAGAACCGCCCTAACCACGTTCCACTGCTCATCAACAGCTCAGCTGTAGAGGTGGTCAGCAGCACCACATTCATCACAGACACCCTCACCTGGACTGGAAACACCACCTCACTGGTCCAAAGGGCCCAGAAGCGCTTGGACTTCCTGCGGAGGATGAGGAGAGCCCACCTGCCCCCACCCATCCTCCCCACCTTCTCCAGAAGCACCATAGAGGGCGTTCTGAGCAGCTGTCTCACTGTGTGGTGTGGAGGCTGCAGCACCTCAGACTGGAAGAAGGTGAGAACAGCAGAGAGGATCATGGGGGCTCCTCTTCCCTCCATTAAAGACATTTCATCCCAGCGCTGCGTGTCCCGAGCCCGTGACATCATCCATGACCCCCCACCATGGACTGTTCTCCCTGCTGCCCTCTGGGAAGAGGCTTCACAGCATTCAATGCAGGACCAGCAGGTTCTGCAGCAGCTTCTTCCCCACCGCCATCACACTGATGAATGTTTTGTTAAATGGGTTATTGTATTCTATTTTATTCTATTTATTATATTTTATCATAAAAAAAGAAAATGTTAGAACTGTAAATTTACAGTCATATGTTTATATTACTGTTTTTTTTTTTTTTTACTATTTTTCAAGGCTGCGCTTTTTAAAAACATGAAATTGTCCAGAGAGCCGTTCTAAACTAAATTTATTTTTGTTTTACACTTGTGTAAACAAAATGACAATTAAATCTGCCTAAGTCTAGTGTTTAGGGTGAGAGGTTAGGGATAATGTTTATGGTGAGTGATTATGTACAGTGTTTAGGGTGAGTGCTTAGGTTTAGTGTTTAGGGTGAGTACTAGGGATAATGTTTAGGGTGAGGGTTAAGGGTTAGTGTTTAGGATTAGTGCTTAGGGGCCGTTTGGGAGTCAGCCATTCTGCATGTTCTTAAGGAGCCAGATGCAGTCCGGCAGGTTGTTGCTGAAGTCACCTTTAGTGTTACTGTTATCCATGATGGGTTCATCCTTCCATTCTGACCTAGGGAAGAGCCTCAGAGTTCATTTTAAAGTCCCCTGGTTTTCCTACTAATGGAATCTTATTACTTCAGCTTATGTTTAATCATGGCATTTTTGGCCATGATAAGGCTTTATTATTTTCATAATATTTTCTAGGATAATTTTTCCTCCACAAATTTCTTCAGCCCCGTTGTGCCCGCACTGCACGGTTAGGCAATGTTCCCAGATATCGAGTCCTTTTAATCAAGGACTATAACTAGTTATTTGACCCATCAGTAACTGAATTACTGGCTTAGTTACTCATTAGGATAAGTAACCATCATCTAGACCTACTTTTCCTGCTGAGCGTTTCACTGTTTACTAGCCAAGCAGATTCAGGTCATAGATGGAGAAGTTCTCAGGTGTTCCATGATGTTCTCCCCTAACCAAAGGGAACGTTGGACCTCTGGGTTAGCATCTATCTCCCATTATGAAGAGATGCAGCAGACAGAACAGCAGCCCATAAGTCCAGGATCACTTGAAACCATTCCTCTGATATTGTCACAGCTGATTGTTGTTGATCTCCTGTCTCTGGGTACCTTTCGACTGATCCAGCTGCTGTCATGTAGGACGGACACAACCCCTGCCACAGGATCAAGACGGACTTTTCTTTATCCGACCCTGATGACGTCTACCTCCCCACACACCAGCCCATTCACTGGCCCCTCCACAAAGCAGAGGAGGAGATCAGGTACCAGTGATTACATTTTTGGCTAACAGAGGGCCCTCTGTGGGGCCTCACTGATACTCAGCCTCTTTCTTCTTCAGTTTAGGACCAGCCTGCTGGCTGTGGGACTACCTGAGGAGGAGCGGGCAGGTGAGGAGGAACATCCACTACCATTCAGATGATGTGGGTTTTGATGGCTCTGACCTCTTTTCCAGAGTGGCTTCCTGTTGCCTCTGAGCGGTGGCGTTGACAGCTCCTCTACCGCCTGCATAGTCCACTGTATGTGTGTGCTGCTCTGCCAAGCTGTGGAGGACGGCAGTGAGTAAAGGGTCTCTTCTGCTTACAGTCAATACCCGTCCCAGCCCCAAGGTCCCTGCGAATAAGTCCCAGCCCCAAGGTCCCTGCGAATAGGTCCCAGCCTTAAGGTCCCTGCGAATAGGTCCCAGCCTTAAGGTCCCTGCGAATAGGTCCCAGCCTTAAGGTCCCTGCGAATAGGTCCCAGCCTTAAGGTCCCTGCGAATAGGTCCCAGCCTTAAGGTCCCTGCGAATAGGTCCCAGCCCCAAGGTCCCTGCGAATAGGTCCCAGCCTTAAGGTCCCTGCGAATAGGTCCCAGCCCCAAGGTCCCTGCGAATAGGTCCCAGCCTTAAGGTCCCTGCGAATAGGTCCCAGCCTTAAGGTCCCTGCGAATAGGTCCCAGCCTTAAGGTCCCTGCGAATAGGTCCCAGCCTTAAGGTCCCTGCGAATAGGTCCCAGCCTTAAGGTCCCTGCGAATAGGTCCCAGCCCCAAGGTCCCTGCGAATAGGTCCCAGCCTTAAGGTCCCTGCGAATAGGTCCCAGCCCCAAGGTCCCTGCGAATAGGTCCCAGCCTTAAGGTCCCTGCGAATAGGTCCCAGCCTTAAGGTCCCTGCGAATAGGTCCCAGCCTTAAGGTCCCTGCGAATAGGTCCCACCCTTAAGGTCCCTGCGAATAAGTCCCAGCCTTAAGGTCCCTGCGAATAAGTCCAAGCCCCAAGGTCCCAGCCCAAAGCTCAATGCGGATTGGTCCCATTCCCAGGATCAAAGCGGATTGGTCCCATTCCCAAGCTCCATGCGGATAGGTCCAAGCACCAAGGTCACAGCCCCAAGCTCCATGCGGATGGGGCCCAGCCCTGAGGGCCCAGCTCAACAGATGTCCTCCTAAAGACATAAAGAGCATCAGATTGTAACTTTAAAATGTCCACCCTCAGGTTGTAACTTTCTGCGTGGTCTGGTGTCCTTCAAGGTTCAGCTCCTAAATGAATCTTATCCACCTTCTACTGTCTCACCAGGAACCCTCTGCTCTGGTTCAGTGAATGAACCAAATCCACCCTTAGGGTGTCAGAGCAGCTGCCAGCCAGTTGTAAATAGTGTTGTACCGATGCCATTTTTTGGCCCCGATACCTGGCTGTGCAGTATCGGCTGATACCATAATAACGTAAAATAATTGCCATCATGGCTTTGTCAAGCTGCTGCCTACCTTTGTGAAGCAGGAAAAAATCTAATACAAAGGGAATCCAGTAGAACTTTTTATTGCCTACCAGGAGTGGGTGACAATAGTGGAAGAAACTTATGGCTCTCAAAATGATATCGGTGCCCTATTTGTTGGTACTTGCCGATACCGATACCACCATTTTAGGGCAGTATCGGGGCCCCGTCCGATACTGGTATCGGTGCAACACTAGTTGTAAAAGTAAACCTTTTAGAGGAAGCCATGGGAGGTGTCTCCTCTAGGAGAGGTGGAGGTTTTCTGGTTCTGGTGGTAGACAGTGGGTCTTATGAACGCTGTTCCTGAAGAATGTTCTACCTAATGCAGCGTTTCAGAGGAATTCTGAGAACATTCTGCTGAGCTCTATCAGAGCACCTTCTACATCCGTACCGGTGTTTGGAGCAGCTCCTACAGAACCTCTGTTCTTTTTTGTTCCCGCCATGTTCTTGATGACCCGTCAGACATCCAGGCGCTGAAGGATGTCCGCCACATTGTCGCAGACGAGGAGTACACACCGCAGAGCCCAAAGGAGCTGTGTGGTCGCATCTTTACCACCTGCTATATGGCCAGTGAGAACTCCTCACAGGAGACGTGCAGCAGGGCCCAGGAGCTGGCCGCGCAGATCGGGAGGTACCATTGACCTGGCCAACAGGGTGTTAAAGTCCAGCTTGGAGAACCACCTGAGCTCTTCCAGCTGGAAAGGTCGTCTGAAGTGCAGCCTGGTTTTCTCTGAGTGTTTATGCTCTGCTTCCAGCACACACATGAACATCAACATTGATGCAGCCGTGAAAGGCATTCTTGGTATCTTCTCTCTGGTTACTGGACGATGGCCTCAGTTTCGTGCAAACGGCGGCGGGAGAAGAGAAAACCTGGCTCTGCAGAACATTCAGGTGAGACCTTTGTGTCTGTTTCAGTCAACACCACAATCACCTCCTCCTCTGTTTGCTGAGCCTCTCTAACCATCAGAAAGTTTCACTATGAGTCTGTTCATTTCCTGTTGAGCTGTGAGAGAAGGAGCATCGCTAAAGCTTAAATTCGCTTTAACCTCCTCTTCCCACCTACAGAGGAGCATGGTTGGCCACAGCACTGAGCTCTGCTCAGCCAACAGCAGTCTTAAAGCACCAAGGCATCATATCAGCAATGCTCTGCTCCACCAGACTCTGAAAGAGTTTGATGTTAGCTTAGTTTGAAGCAGAATCCAATCCGTTTGGTGTCATGATTCAAGATGTCATGAATAGAATTTAAAATCCTCCTTCTCACATAAAAAGCCTTAAATGGCCAAGCTCCATCTGATATCAGAGATCTGATTGTTCCTTATGTTCCTAACAGAGCACTTCGCTCTCAATCTGCAGGTTTACTAGTGCTTCCTAGAATTTCTAAAAGTAGAATGGGAGGCAGATCTTTTCGTTATCAGGCTCCTCTCCTGTGCAACCAACTACCAGTTTTAGTCCGTGAGGCAGACACCCTGTCTACTTTTAAGGCTAGGCTTAAAACTTTCCTTTTTGATAAAACTTCTAGTCAGAGTGGCTCAGGTTATCCTGAGCTATCTCTATAGTTATGCTGCTATAGGCTTAGACTGCTGGAGGACATAGGGACCCCTTTTTCATCATTCTGCTTCATTCTATCTCTATTCTCCTACTCTGCAGAATCTGTTAGTTCAATCTCTAACGTTCTGCTCTCTCTGCTTTTTCTCATAGTAGCTTCATCTGGTCTGTTCCTGTTTGGCTGTGACTCCATCCTGGAGAGAAATATCAGTTGTGCTGCTGCCATCAACACCTTTGTTTCTAGATGTTGAAGCTCGGCCTGTTTTCCAGTGTAGTCCTGTTTCTCTGACTGTGACTAACTGGATGTGCTCTCTTCATCCTCTGACATGGGAGCTGGCTCGGAGCTCGTCTGCCTGGCTGTGTGTTTCCTGGACGGGGCCGCCTGTGGAGCTGGTTGACAGTTGCCTTTTGTATCTATGCTTCTTTTTCTATGTCTGCTTCTGTCTCCTTGAACCCCAGTCGGCCTCAGCAGATGGCCGCTCACACTGAGCCTGGTTCTGCTGGAGGTTTCTTTCTGTTCAAAGGGAGTTTTTCCTCTCCACTGTCGCTACAAGCATGCTTAGTGTGAGGGATTGCTGAAGAGTCAATGAGTCGATGCAATCAGCTGGTTTTCCTTGAATCAATCTGACTGGATGATCTGGTGAACTGGAAAGTGACCTGAGATGACATGATGTGAATTGGAGCTATAGAAATAAACAGAATAGAATAGATTTAGCTCATCTTGATCTTTAGCAACATCAAACTTCATGTTCCAAACACCCTGAACTGAATGTTTGGTTTTAAAAAGAACGTCCCTGTTGGTCTAGAGTTAAACGGCCCGGCTTCTGCTAAACTCCCTGACATGACAAGGAGGTAATTTTTGTGTCAGATGTTTTGGAGCAGGACAGTCACACTCTGGACCAACAGTGCCTACCCCTGGTCTACAGGGACACCCCATTGATGGAGTAATTTCATTGGCTCAGCCAGCTCTTCCTCCTGAACAAGCATCTGGTGACAGTGGAAAGTAAGACTTCCTTTTAAGACCAGAGGCAGGCAGAAAGAAAATAAATAAAGCAAAGAAAGGAAGGAGGAAGCCTTTTAGCTCCGGTCTGTCAGGGGTGGAGATGACCAGATTTGATGCCACCACATGTTCTTAGGTGGACCAAATGAAACTCCTCCTGCTGAGGAGTTCTAGAGCTTCAGAAGAGATAAAAAGTCTAAAACCTTTCTGAGCTGTGATGCAGGGTTGGGAGAAACTGTTTGTCATCAAACAGTTATGACATAAACTAGCTTGAAACCTCATGAAACACTTTGTTACCCTCTGCTATGCTACATGCTAACACTCTTAGCTCAGCCAGGTAAATTTGCTTTGCTCCCAGGCCCGGGTCCGGATGGTTCTGGCCTACCTGTTTGCCCAGCTGAGTCTGTGGGCACGTGGAAAGCCTGGTGGACTGCTGGTTCTGGGCTCGGCAAACGTGGATGAGAGGTATGACTGCCAACGACAGACTGCTGGGTTGGTGAACGGTGAGACTGCAGCTCACAATGATCCTGGTCACTATAGCAACAATTATTAGGTCTCACATCCACCAGCTTATCTGAGAGCAGTAAATCTGGCAAACTGGTCTTTGGTTTATTGGTTCTGAAGAGTTTGAGGTTAATCGTATCAAGGTTTGGACCAAACTGGAGCCAGGCGGGTGATTTGATGAGTTAAAAAAGGAAAACCGGGACAAAGTTCCTTCTGTCTGCGGTTGGCGTAAAATACATTTTGAACTAATACCTCTGGAATATTTAATGTCCTACATCACAGCGAAGACCAGTTTTACAGAGTTTGGCGCCCAGATTTGGACTAACTTAGACCGGACCTGTCCTCCACACTGTTAAGAGGCTTAATGTTGGCCTGAGCAGTATATGTGCATCATAAACAGGAAGGCTGGTGGGCTGTGTCACTACCCGATCCGTCCCGGAAGCACGATCCGCTCTGCGCACGCGCCATCAGCTAATTTACGCATCCAGATATGCATCCGGGTCGTCCTCAATTTTATTAAATTGAAAAGACCTAAATGACGTTCCCCCTCCCCAAAAATAGTCAGCATACTAAAATATAATGTGTTAAAGGTTAATAATTTATTTCCTGAGAAAATAAATACTTAAAATCCTTAATGTTTTAGCACTCTCTGTCCGGTCTGCACGGAAAATGGGATCCTACGCTACTTCCGTTGGCTAACTTTTTCAGCTTTGGATTTAAACCTAAATCAAGTCTTTTTGAGTCTTATGTTTTAACCTCCTGCTATATAGTGTGTAATCTAAAGACAGAAACAACTAAAATGCAGATAAACATGGTTTAATCCTACTTTGCCAGACTGCTCTGAGCACGTCTGATGATAACGTCAGAGGAGTTAAATGAAGAAAATGTAAAAAGCATTATATTTGTCTCACGAAAGTAACAAAACATTTTTTAAGATGTGTGTTAACATTCTTTAGTGAGTTATGGATAAGTATTAGTAGTAGTCATTTTAGTACCATAAGTACATTATCTATGGACACCCGGATGTATATCTGTTCGCACATGCGCAGGATGGATCGTGCTTCCGGGACGGATCTGGCAGAGACATGGAGATAGGCAGGCGGGAGGTGGGCAGACAGAAAGTAAGCAGCAGAGTAACAGAAGCATCTATTAAATAGAGGTGGAAACCAGAGATTAGACAGAGAGAAAATGTTAGAATGTCAAACTGCTGAGGGAGGGAGAGAATGAAAGAACATAAACCTCTTACAGTTGGAAGCAGTGTTGGTTTAGTCAACCATTACAATGACAAAGTCATTTCGTTGACACTTTTTTTCATGACGTTAACGAAAACTGCCGAGCTAAACGTGGATCTTTGATGACTGAAACATGACTAGTCATAGGTTTGAGTTTTAGTCGAGAAGACTAAATAAAAATTAGCAGGTTGTTTGTCAGACGTTTAAAATGCATCATCGTCCTGTAATCCGCTGAGCAGTATAGCAGCTGCATCCTGTTTGATCCTGCCACTCACCTGCTATCCAGCGTTGCACATGCTGCACAGGTTGATCATGGATCATCATGGTCCGGTACTGCCTGTTCAACTCTGACAAAGTGCTCTGCTCTTCCAGCTGTGCTTGTGCAGAAATGTGTTTGCGTGCAGATCACAGTCTGCGCTTCACGCTCCTCTCTGATGGATCGCTCTCAGCAGTATGGCTCTTCCATCGCTACTTAATAAACTATATGTGGCTGATCAAAAGGAATCCCTAAATAATATCCAAAGAAAATATTTCATTGCATTCTGTTAATTTTTGGATAAAGATCCAGATGAAAAGGTTCATAGATCTTTAAATATTTATCTCGCTTGTATATGATGTAAATGTTTCCTTGTATTCAATCAATAAAACTTTTTCTCTATTTCCTTTAAATATTTCAACAATTTAGTTAACATATCATTTAGTTTATGTGTGGGTTGCCATGGCAATGCAAGGCAATTATGGAGGTTCTCTCTGTATTTTTCTATATCAAGATTATGAATTTAAATCTACTTTTTTGGAGTAATGAGTTTTATTGATCTGTGTGTAATGCACAACTCCTAGTCGATCTTTGGGAACCTTGGATGTCTAATAATCAGTGTTGGGCACGTTACTTTGAAAAAGTAATTAGTTATAGTTACTAGTTACTTCTCCCAAAAAGTAACTGAGTTACTAACTGAGTTACTCCACAATAAAAGTAACTAGTTACTAGTAAAAGTAACTATTGCGTTACTTTTACGTTTCTCGCCCCCGTAACCCTCACCACCCAGCCCCCACCTTCTCGCCGTGTGTTTCCAAAGCCAGCTGAATAGAGCGGACGACAAAGACAAGAACCTGCAGAGAGTTTTGCATTTATTGCAACTCAACGTAAATGACATCAGGGGGGAACGTGATGTGAAGTTTTTTAACAGGGCATTCAGATCTGGTGAGTATATGAAATTAATAACTGGGGATGTCTAATTCTGAAATCCTGTGTGTTTGGGTTGTTATAGATACTGCAACATCTATCTATCTATCTAGATCTATACTCTGTGTGTGACATAAAATATGGATCTCCATCCCTGCCACAAAGGCCATCAAATAATGTTTAAAATAAAAAAATACAGTAGGTTGAAGAAGGCAGAGTATCCATCCATCCATCCATCCATCCATCCAGATTTCTCCCTTTCTCCATATAGGCTATCATTTGATCGTTCATGCTCTCCATAGTTCTCCTGTGGCGCGAGCACAGGGCGACTGTTGTGCGCCTTTAGCGAGCATGCGCGTTTCCTGTCGCTTGCGCGGTGACTCTTGCCTCCTGTGCTGTGCGGAGATGCAGGGGAAACCGTATGTGATGGGGAAACGCAGCTCAACGTAACACCGGTATTTCCATCAGGAAAACGCTGTTTTGCTGCTGGATCCTCCTCACTCCCTTTCTATCTCTCTGTGTGTGCTGTACGTTAACACCCACCAGCGGAAACACCCGCCTAACCAACTGACAGACGGAATCTCACTATACATCAGCCATTCTCATCCTCCTCTCTCTCATGACAAGGCGCGCACCTCTGGATGACCTAAAAATAATCTTTAATATCTCTTAAACAAAAGTAGCACAAACAATATTTTTTCTGCACAAATCTGCACTAACGTTGCACTAACCATTCAGTCTATTTGCAGAGTTTTTTGACGTGGGTGGGGTGTCAGCTTCACGCAGCTGCGCACGAGTCCTATCATGAAAAAAGGTTCATTGTGCGACCTGAGTAACGCGCAGTAACGGGGTGTCTGCAATTGTAACTGCGTTATAGTTACAGTCAAAGTAATTAATTAGATTACTCGTTACTAAAACAAGGTAACGGCGTTAGTAACGCCATTACTTTCAACGCCGTTAATCCCATCACTGCTAATAAAAATAATACATTTTATGCTACAGCGTCTTTCTAGACACTCAAGGTCACTTTACAGAAAGTAAAAACGAAAATGCTAAAAATCAAATACAGGAACATAGGTTCCTGGTTCCATAACAAGTTTATTTGAATTCTATAAATCCACATAGATCTAAAACCATTCCTTTACTGGTCATTTTGTTTGCTTGTCTGTCTGCTATTTTAATCAATGAGTGTGTTGAAATAGATCTGCTGTTTTCACAGCTTTTCTTAGACACCTTTCTATAAACTTGGGCATTAATTTATAAAAGAGTTTATTTGAATTCTATAAATCAAAATGTTCTGGTCAACAGCAGTGATGAACTGCACAGCAGCATTCTATACCCAGCTATAGCATCTAGAATAGAGCTGTCATTCTGGGATAGAATCTGGTTGTATTCCAAATTGTAAAGGTTTACTTTTTTTTGCAATATGAAACTGACTAAAACTAGTTTTAGTCGACTAAAACCGACTAAAAGTGTCCCATATCGTAATGACTACAATGTGACTAAAACTAATAATAGTTTTCATCCTGATGACTAGAACTAAGATGGCTGTCTAAAACAACCCTGGTTGGAAGCTCTGCTAGAAACTGGCGATAAGGACAGATGTTGCTGCTGAACATCCATCGGATGGATGCAGAGAAACCTTCAGACGTTCGTGTTTTGTTGTAGAGCGCCGTTAAGCTGTCCCCCAGGCTCCCCAGCAGGACCTGGGAGTGGATTCTGACTAATCGCTAACTCTGACTGATGTATTGAAGGTCCTGATCAGGCAGTGATGTCCATGGACACCTGATCTCAGAATAAGTCGCTCCACGTCTGTTTGTCTGCTGCTCAGTCTGACAGGATACTTCACCAAGTACGACTGCTCCAGCGCAGATATTAACCCCATAGGAGGAATCAGCAAGACGGACCTGAAGAGTTTCCTGGCTTACTGTGCAGAACGGTTCCAGTTCAGCGCTCTGACAGGGTAAGCCCAGCGACGGACAGACCGTCCTCCTCCTCCAGGCTGGAGCCTCACGCCTGCCTCTGTTCTCCGCAGCATCCTGGCTGCTCCACCTACTGCTGAGCTGGAGCCTCAGACAGACGGAAAGCTCTCACAGACAGATGAGGTACAGCATGAAGGTATCACCCAACTGGTTGGCTGCAGTGTTTGTACCGGTAGGGGGCGTGGCCTCAGGCCTCATGTGACTGATGATCTCAGTTTGTAGGAGGATTTACTTCAGGACGTTTTATACTGAGAGATTCAGGACGTTTACCGCTCTGTCAGTTAGCATTGCGTTAGCCAATCAGGGACGGTATGTGAAGCTGTATTCCTGGACAGAAGGAAGAACCTGTAGAGAGAGAACATCCTCTGCTGGTGGTGTTACTGGCTGAACTGGGAGGGGAAACATAACTCTAGCATCATGAGTCCATCTATGTAATAATCATCTATATTTGTTGCTGCAGCCTTCTACATTCCAGTGAAATTGGCTCTCTGAGTCCCCCCCACCTTGGGGAGCAGTGATTGATGCTCTGACTGCAACCTCTCTCCTCAGGCAGACATGGGGATGACCTACTCAGAGCTATCGGTCATCGGGAGGCTGAGGAAGATCTCCAAATGTGGGCCCTACAGCATGTTCTGCAAGCTCATCCATATTTGGAGGGACGTCCTGTCTCCAACTGAGGTTAGTCCTGCCAACGACACAGTGCTGCTAGCTAAACTAGTGTTGTTGGGATGAACGTCTCAGACACTGAAGTGCTTCTGAAGAATTCCAGTTCCTGAGGCCCGGGATCCTGCAACTTTACACCTTTTTCCTACAGGTAGAAAAACCCGGGACCAGTCGACTTTAAGTGGCAGTGGGAACAGCTCACTGGCGAGTCAAACGACTCGACTAGCGACCCGCGTTAAAATCGTAGGGAAGCGGCTGTTCAAACAGTTGCATTTCCGAATTCTTCCGAGTGGTGCCCAACTTTACACTAGTAAATAAAATGAATGTGGTTGGTCGATTGTTGTGGCGGAAGGTTTGCAAGCTTTTTGATTGTGGCTGGTTTGTCGGAAGCATCTTGCTAACCAGTTAGCAACTTAGTGCTAGTAGGTTCCCAATGGGAAATTCCATTGTGACCAAGTAGCACTAAATTGGTGACTTAGAAACGACATTGTCAAGGAACGCTATGGACAGCGAAAACATGCAAGAGGAGAAGAGTTTAGTGTCGGAGGTCGTGGATGAGTCTCCTCCGTCATCCATTTTTTATTTAGAGGAGGAAAGCGGGGATGAAGATGTTTTGGAAAGGACGCCAGGGCGGCAGAAGCTTGGTTTGGTGTAGAAGGCTTCCAGCTGTACATGTTTGAGCCCTTGCCTCGCAACACTGCCAGTTCTGTTAGCTCTACGCCGGCCGAAGACACAGACGTCCATCCCCGTGAACACTGGGACTAGGGCTGCAACTAACGATTATTTTAAAAATCGATGAATCGGCCGATTATTTTTTCGATTAATCGATGAATCGGACAAAAAATATTTTTTATACTAACCTCTTTATTCCAAAATAAACATTTTAGACAGAACAAACAAGCACACAAGTACAGGTTGCTCATTAACTGTACTGGTGCAATATGAAAAATAAATGTTTGTGTTAAAACTACGCAAACTTACATGAGAAATGTAGCTGTACATCCACAAAATATAGGGTACTTTGTTTCATAAAGCGCAAAAAAGACATTTTTGTTTTTAAAAGCCTCTAAGGGGTTCAAACAATAGGTCCCCCCATTTCAACAAATGAGTTGTTTTTAGACTAGAAGAGTTCCGCCTTTTAAGACAGGAAAGTATAGCAGTTAAAGTTGCTACTTGAGAAAATACTGAACCATAGAGATAAAAATAGCCCTGTGATTCAAATTATAAATTGTATTTGGAATATAAATGAATCAAGATGATATGACCGGAAACATTTGATTGACAGATGACCGTTGATATATGATTGGCTGAATTTAGGTGTTCAGGCTTACGTAGAACTAACTGGCCTGCAGAAGATAACGAGAAAAACACAGATTTTAGGACAGGATTTTTTTTTCAAATAGAAATTTTCTAACTTTTGGGACTAAAGTTTGTATCGTCTCTCTGGCAGATAGAGCCGTGGAGCCCTTTTGCTGTGTGGTGCAGCGCTATGCAGTAGCAGCCTTTCAAAATTTCCTCACTTTCCTTGATGGCCCCTCGGCTGGTCCCTGGCTGTTCCCCTACAATTTCCGTACATCAATCTTTGTACTAAAATATTCTTTCTGTCATGATTTGTGGAAATTAAGATCTAAAGAGAAGCATCATCTCCTGGTCAGACCCTGTAATTCAGTTAAAGGGTGGAATCAGAGTAAAAAAAATATGCACACCCAGGAGAAGGCCAGTGGCCTGGAAGTTGGAGGGGATTTTGCTGCCATTCCGCTGGCTTATAGCCGGTTGTTACGGGGAAGTTCCATTTTGAATGGCGAATACTGTAGCTGTAGTTGAGGCAGTCACCGTGGATGATGGGAATGACTCAAACCCTGAGCAACATGGATACTGCAATGGTGATAGTGCAATATAGTATTAATAATGTATGGTGACCCCCCCATACAAATACACACCTATTGAAAAACTGTGTTAACCTGCTGTTTTTAGTGGGAAAGAGGCTTTAGATGTGCCTTTGGTTCAACACACCTGGATGAAGCATTTCGATGACTTACAGAGGAGCATCTCAGCTATTTGATCCAGGTGTGTCCAACCAAGGGTGAACTGAAAAGTTGCAGGATAGCGGCATTCAGGAACTGGAATTGCCCAGCTGTGATTTACACCCACAGCAGCTGAAAAACCAGTTTACCTGAGTTATTTCTATTTCGCCTTTTTAACTTTACTTTTTAACTTTTATATCAGCTTTTTACCTTTTTTTCTTGACTTAACTTTTTTCCATCTTAATTTCCAGCAGGTAATCTATCATTCAAAGGCTCATCTAAATGGTCACATGCCAAAATCAGAGGTACAGCCATGTAGCAGGATCTGTGCTGAATGGATGGATATAGATCTTGTGCTTCTAGATCTCACTGAGGGACGACGGGGGGGACTCTATTTGTAAGGGGCTTGCAGGTGATCAGAATCCTGCCCTGTAAAGTGTTTAAGCTTTAGCAGCTAAAAGCTTCCTGTTACCACGCGTCTGTGTTCTGATTGGCTGCTCAGAGCTCCACCCACACACCTTTCCATCTTTATGGCAGTGAACCAGGTCTCTCTCTGCTCAGGTGGCTCAGAAGGTGAAGCACTTCTTCAGGATGTACTCGGTGAACCGCCATAAGATGACCACGGTGACGCCGTCCTACCACGCAGAGAGCTACAGCCCCGAAGACAACCGCTTTGACCTTCGACCTTTCCTCTACAACACGCGCTGGAGCTGGCAGTTCAGACGCATCGATCAGCAGGTAGGAAGCTGATGGGAGCTGGGTGTGGCTAACCTCAGAACACTTGGATCTAATGGTTCTCCTTCCTGCAGGTTTCCCAAATACCATCAGCCGGCGCCGCCGGTTTGGACCAGAGGGGGTCGGTGTAAATCAGTCTGTCCCAGGCTCTGCAGAGGACCCAACGGGAATTTTTTAATCTCAGATCCAGTTTGCCTAAAATATACGATGATGTTTCCATGGTGATGAGTACTTCCTGCTTGGTTAGCTGGACCAGAAAAGAACAATAAAGGCTTTTGATTCTGATCTGTTGACTATGGGTCAGAATCAACTGGGTCTGGTCCGTCTTCCTGAGCTTCTGAGGAACTCCTGATCATCAAACTTATTCTCACTTATTCTCTTGACTAATTTAGTGAATCTAAACTAAGCTGCTGTGCAAAGAGACTGGAATGTGTTCAGACTAATTCACAGTTGTGACCCAAAGGTGAATAAAACATGGGTTAAATCATTTTCATTTATTTATTTGATTAATCAGAAATCAATAACATTTAGTTAAATGATTCATCTTAAAAGAGCCTTCGGTCATATTTTGGTTATTAAATGTCTGCTACAGCTACACCTTATGGACATCGTTTTAGGATCAGAACGTTCACATTTTGGACAAAGAAGACAGGTGGTTTGAGAGGGGCATGAAGGAAGCCATCTATGTTAAGAAAGAAGAACCAACCTTAAACAGAGGGGAGACTCTCAGATTTCAACTTTCAATAACCTTCAAAGCAGCAATAGAGTTGATTCCTTCCCGCTATAATCGCAGCCCCAACCCCTTTACAGGAGAACAGAAGACCTCTCCTATTCAGCCAGGAAAACAATTCCCTCTAACAACCCCTCTTTCAGAGACATAGACAGGTATGGGGCATTGCAGGCTAACAAAGAAGCCAAACGACCCCCATTCCAAAGGGGGGGACCCGTTCATCTGTTTCTATTTGCATGTTTTCTAAACTAAAACCAGGCTTTGTTGGGCTGCTGGGTAAAACCTGGAACTAAACGCTATTTCTGACATTTTGGATTGAAAAATCTTCCTGGATGGAAGAGAAACGTCTTCAAACTTGGAAACAAAGTCCAGAGGATTGATTTTAACTTTTTTGGAATGACGATGACCTGGATGACTGAGAATGTTTACCAGTTATTAAATGTAATTAAAATATGAGGAGACAGATGAATGTTAACTCTGTATTATTTCAACCTTTAGTGAAATAAAGCTGGTTTTAGCTTTAGAAACCTGTCAGGCTGGCGTACCATGCGGTCACCATTAGCTTCTTGTTAGCTTCCATTAAACGCCTGAAATCCTCAAAAATCCAAATGGTTGAACTGACATATTCTTCACTAACAGACGAATTAATGGATGGAGAAAACATGTACACATCGAAAAGATTATAGAACTAAACCATCATGAATTACCCTGTTTTCTGTGCCAAGAACCAGGAGATGCAGAAAAAAACAGCCCATCTGGATAAACGCATATATATTTCTCCCTACAACGATTGGTTTCAGAAGTTTAATGCTGGAAAAATAGTTTTTGGGGAAAAAGTTATTGTATGGATTTTTATTTGTATGTTAATCTTTGTGCATCTCTGTCTGTCTCCATCATATCTAAACATTAAATCAGATGTTATAATCCAAACATCAGTACTTCAGAAGCCTTCCTACCAAATACATCTTACTTTGTTTTACTTGAGTGATTAAAATAGGGCCATAGGGCGACTTTTACTGGGGAACGTTTTTATGAATACAACTGCTATGTTATTTAACACCACAGCGAAAGAGGGACAATCACGAACTAGCTTTGATAGGCGGTGAGGAAGTGACATAGAAAAAGAAGCATAGATACAAAAGGCAACTGTCAACCAGCTCCACAGGCGGCCCCGTCCAGGAAACACATAGCCAGGCAGACGAGCTCCGAGCCAGCTCCCATGTCAGAGGATGAAGAGAGCACATCCAGTTAGTCACAGTCAGAGAAACAGGACTACACTGGAAAACAGGCCAAGCTCCAACATCTAGAAACAAAGGTGTTGATGGCAGCAGCACAGCTGATATTTCTCTCCAGGATGGAGTCACAGCCAAACAGGAACAGACCAGATGAAGCTACTATGAGAAAAAGCAGAGAGAGCAGAACGTTAGAGATTGAACTAACAGATTCTGCAAAGTGGGAGAATAGAGATAGAATGATGAAAAAGGGGTCCCTATGTCCTCCAGCAGTCTAAGCCTATAGCAGCACAACTATAGAGATAGCTCAGGATAACCTGAGCCTCTCTAACTAGAAGCTTTATCAAAAAGGAAAGTTTTAAGCCAGATAACTGAAAGATTACTTCCCATTATAGTTTTAGAAGACTGAGAGGGAATTGCTCTTTAGGAATATAAGGAAACCACAAAAAAGGCTTCCTGACACTGCTGCAGCATTCAGCCCCACTGAGCAGTGAAAGGTGGGAACTTCACTGTAATCGATCTTCTTTCTAAGCTCTATGCGCTTCTTAGCAGTTAGTTTCACCGTAAAACCAGTCTGGTTGTGTCTAACATAGATCCAAGTTACACCTGATCCAGAGAACTGGACATGTACAAAAAAAAAAAAAAAAAAAAAAACATGTGAAGAGCCGCAGCTAAAAAGGAAACCATGACGTAAGCCTGGAGGAATGGTGGGGGGGGGGGGGGGGGGGGGTCTATTTTATTGAAGTTAAAGAGGTGAGGAACAAACAACCTGAGTGAAATGGGAGGAGCAGAAGTTGACTTCCTAAATAACAGCCAGGTTCCTCCGCGCGCTCAGCTTCCTGGACTTCCTGAAGTCCCAAAGACTCGGAGTGTGCTGAGCTGCTGTCCCCCAGCTCTACACCTCCTGGATGGAAACGGACCGGCTGCTGAGCCGGCCTGAGGAGGACGGACACACCGGGGACTATGGCTCCGGGCCCGGAAGGAGCCGCGGAGGTTCGCGGGCCAGCAGGCGGATGTCCTACTCTGCTGCCGAGGACTGCTGCCGTTTGGACGGAGGTACGGGACGGTACAGCAGGGGGACAGGACGGGACAGCAGGGGGACTTATTGCAGCGACATTAACAGGTTATTACCGGAGTGAAGCTGCAGGGAAACATCAGAAAGTTTGTCCTGCTCTGGTTCCAGAAGTCACCCGATGGGACAGACTTTGTGCCCGCTGTCCCCTCATGATGTCCCTCATACTGTCCCATCATGCTCTCTCCACAGCCCTGTCTTCTATCCCTATGTGTATATCTGTCCTCCTGGTCCTCTGTGTGGATCTGTCCTCTTTGTGGACCTGTCCTTCTGGTCCTCTGTGTGGATCTGTCCTCTTTGTGGACCCGTCCTCCTGGTCCTCTGTGTGGATCTGTCCTCTTTGTGGACCCGTCCTCCTGGTCCTCTGTGTGGATCTGTCCTCTTTGTGGACCCGTCCTCCTGGTCCTCTGTGTGGATCTGTCCTCTTTGTGGACCTGTCCTCCTGGTCCCCTGTGTGGATCTGTCCTCTTTGTGGACCTGTCCTCCTGGTCCTCTGTGTGGATCTGTCCTCCTGGTCTTCTGTGTGGATCTGTCCTCCTGGTCCTCTGTGTGGATCTGTCCTCTGTGTGGACCTGTCCTCCTGGTCCTCTGTGTGGACCTGTCCTCCTGGTCCTCTGTGTGGATATGTCCTCTGTGTCGATCTGTCCTCCTGGTCCTCTGTGTGGATCTGTCCTCTTTGTGGACCTGTCCTCCTGGTCCCCTGTGTGGATCTGTCCTCTTTGTGGACCTGTCCTCCTGGTCCTCTGTGTGGATCTGTCCTCCTGGTCTTCTGTGTGGATCTGTCCTCCTGGTCCTCTGTGTGGATCTGTCCTCTGTGTGGACCTGTCCTCCTGGTCCTCTGTGTGGATCTGTCCTCCTGGTCCTCTGTGTGGACCTGTTCTCCTGGTCCTCTGTGTGGACCTGTCCTCCTGGTCCTCTGTGTGGATCTGTCCTCCTGGTCCTCTGTGTGGACCTGTCCTCCTGGTCCTCTGTGTGGATATGTCCTCTGTGTCGATCTGTCCTCTTGGTCCTCTGTGTGGATCTGTCCTCTGTGTGGACCTGTCCTCCTGGTCCTCTGTGTGGACCTGTCCTCCTGGTCCTCTGTGTGGATATGTCCTCTGTGTGGATCTGTCCTCCTGGTCCTCTGTGTGGATCTGTCCTCCTGGTCCTCTGTGTGGATCTGTCCTCTGTGTGGATCTGTCCTCCTGGTCCTCTGTGTGGATCTGTCCTCTGTGTGGACCTGTCCTCCTGGTCCTCTGTGTGGATATGTCCTCTGTGTGGATCTGTCCTCCTGGTCCTCTGTGTGGATCTGTCCTCTCTGTGGATCTGTCCTCCTGGTCCTCTGTGTGGATCTGTCCTCTGTGTGGACCTGTCCTCCTGGTCCTCTGTGTGGATATGTCCTCTGTGTGGATCTGTCCTCCTGGTCCTCTGTGTGGATCTGTCCTCTGTGTGGATCTGTCCTCCTGGTCCTCTGTGTGGATCTGTCCTCTGTGTGGATCTGTCCTCCTGGTCCTCTGTGTGGATCTGTCCTCTTTGTGGACCTGTCCTCCTGGTCTCCAGCTCAGTCTGATCTTATCAAACATGGAGGAACCAGTTTCATATTTTGGTTTCTGCCTGCAGCTCTTGGCGGCCATGTTTCTCTCAGACAGTCAATGCTGACCTTTTATCGTCACGGTGAGCAGACGCTGCTGTGATGTCATCGCGCTCTGAAGACAAAGTTCAGCTTTTATCAGACCTGTTTTCTTTATAATTTTGCTCTAAGCTTTCAGGCATTTAGACACTAAAACCTTCTAGCAGCACAGGACGGACCCAGCTACAGATATAAAGCATGTCAGTGGGGGGGGGGGGGGTCTTACTGTTGGTAGCTCCCAGTTAGACACTGAAACCTTCCAACCAGCAGGGCCAGAATCCCCCCAGCTCTCATACAGCAGCCTGGTCACTTCAGAACGACTTTTGTCACGACTGGTTATCAACCCAGTGGCTATTTTTATGGAGGTTAAAGCCAGAGACATGTTGGAGACTTAGGAAAAGAGGGGCCCCAGGCAAAGACAAGGCAGGGGGCCCTCTGAATGGAGAAGACATAGAACAGACCCATTCTACAGATAGAGAAATGTTAATAGAATAGACATCCATTATCTGTTCTAGGTTGTGTCCCTCTCTTCTTGTCCCTTTTCTTCTTGTTTTCCTCTCTATGTTTTGTACTCAGCTGACTTTTCATGCTGTCTCTAAAGGAATGAAAGATTTTTTCCAAGCACTAAGCTCACTTAGCTGATTGCTCCTTCCTGTGTTTCCAAAAAGGCCAAAGTAAATAACCCAGTCCTTCTTTTCACTGTAGACAAGCCATGATCTGCTTCTCTGTTCTCCATTTTTCATTTGGATGAAATAATAGCTGCATGAATCATGACAGCAGACAAGATAGAGGAGAGCAGGAGGCGGGGTTACCAATCTACTTGCTCTGGAGAGCAGAGTTCGCTGCTTTTAGATGTTGTCTCCAAAGTCTCCAGTAGCAGAAAAAAGTCTCTAGATTTGGCGCTAGGAACTTGTTAGAAATCAAAGTGCTAGAGGGGTCTGAAAAGTGGCTAAATATAGCGACTAAAGCGCTAAGTTGGCAACACTGCTCTTTGCATCGTTTGTTTTCAAATGGTTTGCTGCTGTCTGTTTGGACCTTTCTGAACATGTGCAGCAAATGGACTGATCCAATATGGTGGACACTGAAGGGGGTGGGGGGGGGGGGGTGCTGCGACACACTTAATATTATAATATTATTATATTATAATTAATGTGCATAAATAAGGAATAGTTGTATTAACCTACATGGAAACTGAGTTTTACGGGGCCCCCAGGAACTTGGGGCCCTAGGCGGCTGCCTGGTACTGCTTAATGGTAATTCCCCCCCTGGCTGCAGCGCCATGCTGCCCAAACCAGCACAGCTTTGACATGTTGTGTGGGGGGGTGTCTGAGTAGCTGTGGTTGCAGGACACTCCCTGCTGTGATACACTGAGTCAGCAAACCACACGAGTTCATGACTCATCAGGTTCCTGTGGAACAACTGAAGTCATCAGCAGACGGTTCGAACAGTTTCTGTGTGAAACAGCAGATCAGCTCCACCTGAGTCTGACTGAGTCCACCTCACTGCTCAACCTGAGACAGACAGGGATAGGAATGTTTGAGGGAGAAAAATTAAATGAGAAACTGCCTGCCGTATTCTGTGAGCCATAGCACTCTCAGTTTATCTGTTAACACATTAATTCCACTTACGGGACCGAGTACGGCTTAATAATATTGACAAGTCGCTTTATCTCAATAACACAATTAATTAAATATCTTAATTGATAGATTCTAATCTTTTAAAACTTTGCTTCTCCTGCTCATCATTTTTTACAGATAATAAGATAAAAAAACAAACAGCTGATTGCTTCCAGTAATTGACTTTACAGGATTCTCTCCTGGATGAGCAGCTAGAGACAGGATATTTGCTCATCAATCTTAAAGGTGTTGTGCAGGATTTTCGAGAATATTTATTTTTTTATTCTTTTCAACTTTAAAAAATTGCACATGCGAGAACGTGCACGGGCCCAATTCTCATTGTGCACTCTCCATTTAAAAGTGGCTGTTTTCATATCTCATACCATGGACATTAAAGACGTAGACGCCTCATTGGACGTTGCCGGCAGCAAGGCCGACATACCTAGAGGGCAGCCATCTTGGATCAGACCACAGTTCAGACAGCTGCTGTCAGAATGAACAGGAGGCGCCTTAGATCTCATTTTAATCACATGAAAGACGAGTCAGAGATGATATTATAATAATCTCAAAACCCCTTAAAAGAACAAAACCAAGTCTAAAATGACCTTTCGGTTAGATTACACAGAGTTATTCACATTCAAACTATTTAAACTGAACATGCATTCAGTATTTTTAAAGAGTATTATGATCTATAGAGGAAAGTTTGTTGTAATGTGATTTATAAAAATTAGTAAAGTTATTATTTTGTTTTTTCTAATTAATTTAATGTTAATTTTTATTTCTTTTTTTTCCATTTTCATTGTCAAGACTTTGTTGTCTTGTTGTTGAATAGTAAATTAATGTTGTGTCTATCTAAAGGCTTTTTGTCCTTATGAGTTTGTCTAAACTTGTTCCAAAACTGTTGTTCAACTATCTTTATGATTTCTTTATTGTTATTTATGCATATGTGAACATTTGTCCTTTAATCAGTTAATGCATGTCATATACACTCACCAGCCACTTTATTAGGTACCCCATGCTAGTAACGGGTTGGACCCCCTTTTGCCTTCAGAACTGCCTCAATTCTTTGTGGCATAGATTCAACAAGGTGCTGGAAGCATTCCTCAGGGAGTTTGGTCCATATTGACATGATGGCATCACACAGTTGCCGCAGATTTGTCGGCTGCACATCCATGATGCGAATCTCCCGTTCCACCACATCCCAAAGATGCTCTATTGGATTGAGATCTGGTGACTGTGGAGGCCATTTGAGTACAGTGAACTCATTGTCAGGTTCAAGAAACCAGTCTGAGATGATTCCAGCTTTATGACATGGCGCATTATCCTGCTGAATGTAGCCATCAGAAGTTGGGTACATTGTGGTCATAAAGGGATGGACATGGTCAGCAACAGTACTTAGGTAGGCTGTGGCGTTGCAACGATGCTCAATTGGTACCAAGGGGCCCAAAGAGTGCCAAGAAAATATTCCCCACACCATGACACACCCACCACCAGCCTGAACCCTTGAGACAAGGCAGGATGGATCCATGCTTTCATGTTGTAGACGCCAAATTCTGACCCTACCATCCGAATGTCGCAGCAGAAATCGAGACTCATCAGACCAGGCAACGTTTTTCCAATCTTCTATTGTCCAATTTCGATGAGCTTGTGCAAATTGTAGCCTCAGTTTCCTGTTCTTAGCTGAAAGGAGTGGCACCCGGTGTGGTCTTCTGCTGCTGCAGCCCATCTGCCTCAAAGTTCGACGTACTTTGCGTTCAGAGATTCTCTTCTGCCCAACTTGGTTGTAACGGGTGGTTATTTGAGTCACTGTTGCCCTTCGATCAGCTCGAACCAGTCTGGCCATTCTCCTCTGACCTCTGGCATCAACAAGGCATTTCCACCCACAGAACTGCCACTTACTAGATGTTTTTTCTTTTTCGGACCATTCTCTGTAAACCCTAGAGATGGTTGTGCGTGAAAATCCCAGTAGATCAGCAGTTTCTGAAATACTCAGACCAGCCCTTCTGGCACCAACAATCATGCCACGTTCAAAGTCACTCAAATCACCTTTCTTCCCCATACTGATGCTCGTTTTGAACTGCAGGAGATTGCCTTGACCATATCTACATGCCTAAATGCACTGAGTTGCTGCCATGTGATTGGCTGCTTAGAAATTAAGTGTTAACGAGCAGTTGGACTGGTGTACCTAATAAAGTGGCCGGTGAGTATAAATATATATAGATATATGTAATGTATATAATAGATATATGTAATGTATATAAATATATGTATATAATATATATATATATATATATATATATTTATTCATATACATTACATATATATACACTCACCGGCCACTTTATTAGGTACACCGGTCCAACTGCTCGTTAACACTTAATTTCTAAGCAGCCAATCACATGGCGGCAACTCAGTGCATTTAGGCATGTAGACATGGTCAAGACAATCTCCTGCAGTTCAAACCGAGCATCAGTATGGGGAAGAAAGGTGATTTGAGTGACTTTGAACGTGGCATGATTGTGCCAGAAGGGCTGGTCTGAGTATTTCAGAAACTGCTGATCTACTGGGATTTTCACGCACAACCATCTCTAGGGTTTACAGAGAATGGTCCGAAAAAAAAAAAAACATCCAGTGAGCGGCAGTTCTGTGGGCGGAAATGCCTTGTTGATGCCAGAGGTCAGAGGAGAATGGCCAGACTGGTTCGAGCTGATAGAAGGGCAACAGTGACTCAAATAACCACCCGTTACAAGCCAGGTGGGCAGAAGAGCATCTCTGAATGCACAGTATTTCGAACTTTGAGGCAGATGGGCTACAGCAGCAGAAGACCACACCGGGTGCCACTCCTTTCAGCTAAGAACAGGAAACTGAGGCTACAATTTGCACAAGCTCATCGAAATTGGACAATAGAAGATTGGAAAAACGTTGCCTGGTCTGATGAGTCTTGATTTCTGCTGCGACATTCGGATGGTATGGTTAGAATTTGGCGTCTACAACATGAAAGCATGGATCCATCCTGCCTTGTATCAACGGTTCAGGCTGGTGGTGGTGGTGTCATGGTGTGGGGAATATTTTCTTGGCACTCTTTGGGCCCCTTGGTACCAATTGAGCATCGTTGCAATGTCACAGCCTACCTGAGTATTGTTGCTGACCATGTCCATCCCTTTATGACCACAATGTACCCAACTTCTGATGGCTACTTTCAGCAGGATAATGCACCATGTCATAAAGCTGGAATCATCTCAGACTAGTTTCTTGAACATGACAAAGAGTTCACTGTACTCAAATGGCCTCCACAGTCACCAGATCTCAATCCAATAGAGCATCTTTGAGATGTGGTGGAACGGGAGATTCGCATCATGGATGTGCAGCCGACAAATCTGTGGCAACTGTGTGATGCCATCATGTCAATATGGACCAAACTCCCTGAGGAATGCTTCCAGCACCTTGTTGAATCTATGCCATGAAGAATTGAGGCAGTTCTGAAGGCAAAAGGGGGTCCAACCCGTTACTAGCATGGGGTACCTAATAAAGTGGCCGGTGAGTGTATATGTACTGTATATAAATATATATATATATATATAAATATATATATATATATATATTTTTTTTTTTTTTGGGGGGTCTTTTTAAGGCGTTGTGACATGTTAGAGATTATTGTGATATCTCTGACTCGTCTTTCATGTGATTAAAATGAGATCTAAGGTGCCTCCTGTTCATTCTGACAGCAGCTATCTGAACTGTGGTCTGATCCAAGATGGCCGCCCTCTAGGCACGTAGGCCAGCGTCCAATGAGGCGTCTACGTATATAATGTCTATGGCTTATACAAGCTTACTGTACCCAACATCCATCCTAACCCCTAAATTCTATATAGAGCAGGGACTATATAGTGAACTTTATAGTGAACTCAGTTAACTGACCGTTTGTACAGATGATTGTTTCCCTGTTGGTCCACTGAGCGGTTCCTGCGCCATTTTGTTTTCGCCGCAGTCTGGTAGCGACAACCTATGATGACAGCTGGCTGTTGTGACAGTAAATTCCATAAGGCTTTGTGAGGATAGCTCTCTGTGCAAAGCATTCTGGGATATATCTGCCTCTTCTGAGGCCTTACTTTTCTTCTCATACACCTCTTGGACACTTTTTCTCTTCCGACCCACGGCTATTTGCAAAGAACCGCGATGAGAAAGGTGAGCTTTAATGACTGTCTGAAACCGTAGCTCATCTGCTTCTCCTGGTTTTGTTTGTCACAGATAACAAGGACATTTACATCCAGCAAGCTGTTGTCTTCATAGAAGATGCCATCCATGTGAGTATCCTGATAATTTTAAGAGACCTCAATGTATAGCTCTGTACGGGGGATAAAGTTTGGACATGTTCGATAGTAGACGTATTCATTTATTAACTGCTGTATTGATCCAATCTTCCTGTTTGTAGTACCGCTCCATCAACCACCGGGTGGATCCTGGCTCACTACGCCTGTACCGATGGTACTACTCCAAACTATGCCAGTGGTGAGTTTGCACTGTTCACCAGCGGCTCTGGTTCCACACGGTCAAGGCCAGTCCATGTTTTCCATGCTGATTATTCGGACTGTTTTTAAATTCTGGAAATGTACAGCTAATTTTCTGAAGTCGCAGAGCTGTCTGATGAAAGGAGCTGTTTGATGTTTTATCGTAGTGAGGCTACTGGGTTTGCCCTGTTACATACATTCATTAAATATTGTTGAAGTCACTCTCTCAGTTTGTTGGGATTTTTATTTTGTTTGTTTGCTTTGGACTTGGATATATTTGGTGCTTTGAGATATTTTATCTCTGGGATTTTATTTTCCTATAAAACACCTTAAACTGTCCTGTAAATAAATCATACTGTACAGAAGAATTTAATTTGCCAACATAATGTAACCAGCCTGAAGTCTGAAGTCTCCTCAGTGCAGCACTTTTGGAGTGCCTGGAGGAGCCAAGAACATATGAGGTTAAAGGGTGACATGGTGCAGGAGCTACTGACTGTACCAGAGGAGCTACTGCCTGTACCAGAGGAGCAAATGACTGTACCAGAAGAGCTACTGCCTGTACCAGAAGAGCTACTGCCTGTACCAGAGGAGCTACTGCCTGTACCAGAGGAGCTACTGACTGTACCAGAGGAGCAAATGACTGTACCAGAGGAGCTACTGACCGTACCAGAGGAGCTACTGACTGTACCAGAGGAGCTACTGGCTGTACCAAAAAGAGCTACTGACTGTACCAGAGGAGCTACTGACCGTACCAGAGGAGCTACTGACTGTACCAGACAAGCTACTGACTGTACCAGAAGAGCTACTGACTGTACCAGACAAGCTACTGACTGTACCAGAAGAGCTACTGACTGTACCAGAGGAACTACTGGCTGTACCAAAAAGAGCTACTGACTGTACCAGAGCAGCTACTGACTGTACCAGACAAGCTACTGACTGTAGCAGAAGAGCTACTGACTGTACCAGAGAAGCTACTGGCTGTACCAAAAAGAGCTACTGACTATACCAGAGGAGCTACTGACTGTACCAGACAAGCAACTGACTGTACCAGAAGAGCTACTGACTGTACCAGAGGAACTACTGGCTGTACCAGAGGAGCTACTGACTGTACCGGAAGAGCTACTGACTGTACCAGAGGAGCTACTGACTGTAAAAGAGGAGCTACTGACTGTACCAGAGGAGCTACTGACTGTACCAGAAGAGCTACTGACTGTACCAGAGGAGCTACTGACTGTACCGGAAGAGCTACTGACTGTACCAGAAGAGCTCCTGACTGTACCAGAAGAGCTCCTGACTGTACCAGAAGAGCTACTGACTGTACCAGAGGAACTACTGGCTGTACCAAAAAGAGCTACTGACTGTACCAGAGGAACTACTGACTGTACCAGACAAGCTACTGACTGTACCAGACAAGCTACTGACTGTACCAGAAGAGCTACTGACTGTACCAGAAGAGCTACTGACTGTACCAGAGGAACTACTGGCTGTACCAAAAAGAGCTACTGACTGTACCAGAGGAACTACTGACTGTACCAGACAAGCTACTGACTGTACCAGACAAGCTACTGACTGTACCAGAAGAGCTCCTGACTGTACCAGAAGAGCTACTGACTGTACCAGAGGAACTACTGGCTGTACCAAAAAGAGCTACTGACTGTACCAGAGGAACTACTGACTGTACCAGACAAGCTACTGACTGTACCAGACAAGCTACTGACTGTACCAGAAGAGCTACTGACTGTACCAGAGAAGCTACTGGCTGTACCAAAAAGAGCTACTGACTGTACCTGACAAGCTACTGACTGTACCAGAAGAGTTACTGACTGTACCAGAAGAGTTACTGACTGTACCAGAAGAGCTACTGACTGTACCAGAGGAACTACTGGCTGTACCAGAGGAGCTACTGACTGTACCAGACAAGCTACTGGCTGTACCGGAAGAGCTACTGACTCTACCAGAGGAGCTACTGACTGTACCAGACGAGCTACTGACTGTACCAGACGAGCTACTGACTGTACCAGGCAAGCTACTGACTGTACCAGACAAGCTACTGACTGTATCAGACAAGCTACTGACTGTACCAGAGGAACTACTGGCTGTACCAAAAAGAGCTACTGACTGTACCAGAGGAGCTACTGACTGTACCAGAGGAGCTACTGGCTGTACCAGAAGAACTACTGACTATACCAGACAAGCTACTGACTGTATCAGACAAGCTACTGACTGTACCAGAGGAACTACTGGCTGTACCAAAAAGAGCTACTGACTGTACCAGAGGAGCTACTGACTGTACCAGAGGAGCTACTGGCTGTACCAGAAGAGCTACTGACTGTACCAGAGGACCTACTGATTTCACCAGAGGAGCTACTTATTGTACCAGAAGAGCTACTGACTGTACCAGAAGAGCTACTGACTGTACCAGAGGACCTACTGATTTCACCAGAGGAGCTACTTATTGTACCAGAAGAGCTACTGACTGTACCAGAGGACCTACTGATTGTACCAGAGGAGCTACTGATTGTACCAGAGGAGCTCATGACTGTACCAGAGGAGCTACTGACTGTACCAGAGGACCTATTGACCGTACCAGAAAAGCTACTGACTACCAAAAAAGAGCTACTGACTGTACCAGAGGACCTACTGATTGTACCAGAGGAGCTAATAACTGTACCAGAGGAGCTACTGACTGTACCAGAAGAGCTACTGACTGTACCAAAAAGAGCTACTGACTGTACCAGAGGAGCTAATAACTGTACCAGAAGAGCTACTGACTGTATCAGTTCCTTAGTTCTAACTAATGGTGGAGAGCATTGAGATTGATATACTGTAGGTGGAACAAAGAATTAGGGGGAACAAAAGGTATCTCTCCTACTCGATTGGCCAATCTCAGTGGTCCCCACCACTAGTTAGAACCAAAGAATCCTCTCGGATGGCAGGAGAAACGTCTTCTAGAAAACTCCACATCCAGTTGCTTAAACTGAACTTGTCAAGCTTGACGATGACCTGGATGACTGAGAATCTTCACAGATATATCAATGACGCTGGCTTTGCTCGTCAACCTAACAGTGGCTCTAACTGCTTACTGTTCCTGGTCAGTCACGGAGCTAGTAATCTTCTGACAGGTGACTGGTTATGTGTTTCTCAAGCTTCATAGTGGACATGTTGGGGACATTGTAATGGGGTGACATTATCCTGCTTTCCAAGGTTCCTGAAGATCTAAGAGGACAAGATTTAGATCATTATGCATGAAGGCCACTTTCACTCAGACATCTAAAGTTAATCATTGAAACCATAAAAGCAAAGAAAGCTGTAGTATGCTGTGGCCCTATCCATAGACATTTCCCATGGTTCCTGTTTCAGGATCCTGGGGACCATCATTGCAGTTGTGTTGTTGCTGGCATTCATAGAGCGTCCTTCGTCACTCTCGGTCTCCTCGGATCCCCACCACCGATCAGTACCATATGAGCCTCCTTGTGGCGCCACAGAGAGCGTGGAGATGCTCTGCATCATCATCTTCTGCTTCGATCTGGCAGTCAAAGTAAAGACCGGATTGTAGCAGCTGTTTGAGAAGCTCCAAGGTGCACATTGGCATTGTTTGCTAACGTTTGTTCATTTTTTCCCTTTCTCCACTCAGAGCTACCTGATTGGCTGGGAGGAATTCAGAAAGAGTAAATGGCTAATCAGCTACACTGTGGTTATTTGTGTGTCCATCGTTGACTGGGTGCTATCCATCAGCATGCTGTGTGATGAGGTAAATGTCAAATTAAGCTATAAACCTTAATAAAAAGGATGTCAACTATAAACAGTTCTGCTGAGAGCTTCACATCGACTCATTTATCCAACATAATATTGACTTGAGTCTTTAGTTAATGACCTGCCGTTTCTGTGATGATAGACTGGTTATGTACCGTCTCACTGATCCCCCATCCCTCTGATAAATGATAGACGTTCCTCAGAAAGTTGTAGAAAAAACAAATAATATTTAAGCCCACAAAAAATTTGTAATTCTTTACTATCTACCACAACACATTTATGGTAGAGTTCATGTATATTGTTGTTTTTCTTTTTTTTATAACAGACTTCAATTTATTTAAAATCAATATAATTTAAAAAGGGTTGAATCCAGTGCTGTTCCAGAAGCCAAATGCTAATGCTAATGTCTATCCTACCTAATCCACAGGTTTTCACCATGTAGATGTAGATTTGAGTTGAACTTAAAATTATTGTGGGGGATTTTTGCAATTATTTCAAAAGACCCGCCCCCTCCACAGGCAGAACGGAAAAAGGGGTCCCTATGTCCTCCAGCAGTCTAAGCCTATAGCAGCATAACTATAGAGATAGCTCAGGATAACCTGAGCCACTCTAACTATAAGCTTTATCAAAAAGGAAAGTTTTAAGCCTAGCCTTAAAAGTTGACACGGTGTCTGCCTCACGGACTAAAACTGGTAGTTGGTTCCACAGGAGAGGAGCCTGATAACTAAAAGATCTGCCTCCCATTCTATTTTTAGAAATTATAGGAACCTAGGATTAATCTAGGATTACATCTAATATCTGTCCCAAGGATCCCTAGCCTCAGTAAAGAGATCAGAAAAACATTTTCTTCACTAAGTTCAAAGTTATTCAGAGGACTTATTTAGGTTTAGTGACGATTTTCTGTTCTTATTTAAATTGGAAACTTTGTTTTTTTAGACTTTGTCTTCTGTGCCAGGCTGTTCTTTTGTTGTTTTAACCATCCATCTGTCCCAGAAATTTCATTAATATTATAAACACATGCAATAACTGAGGACTTTGCTTCTGTTTGGTAAAAATATATTTTCTTCTCAATTAGAAACTGAGAGTACGACGGCTTGTTCGACCATTCTTCCTTCTGCAGAACTCCTCTCTGATGAAAAAGACCCTGAAGTGCATCAAGAGAACCCTGCCTGAGATCGCCAGGTGGGTTAGTAGAGAAGCATCAGTGTGATTCAGTAACTGGAAGTGATCCTCCATCAGCAGCTGAATGCTTTTCGCTCACTGAGATATTTCTGATGTCATTTCACTGATTATGAAATGAAAAACCCACCAGAGTGTGAAGAGTTTCTCACTTCTGCTGACCGGTTCGCTAAAATGTGACCGCAGGCTCATGGTTAGCTGTAGGGTTGCGTTGGCTTCTGTTATCCTGTATTACTGTCAAATCATAGAAGAAATAATTGGGATCAGAGGTTCGGTTCTGATTCTCTTTTAGCATGCTCTCTGTGCACTCTATTTCTGGACCACAGGTTCTGTGGGTTTTTGTGTTCTGCTCTTTTATTAATAAGCTTTCATATTTAAAGGGGTACAATTAGTCTCTGTAGTCATTTAGGAGCCTTCTATGTAATTCAACTTAAAGTTCAAAAAATCAACCATTTCAATGTGTATACTATGTAGAAGCTTAAATAAATTTAATCTACATATGTGTGTAGCTTCATTAGCAAGGGTCTCCGGAAAATCTGCTCCATCTTCAGTGATTTATCTGGAAAATATAGATGCAGGTTGGCTGTGATCAGTGTAAGGTGACCCTAGCCACACTGTAAAAAGTATAACCTTGCTTAAATAAAAAAAAATTATGCTCGATATCACATTTATAATATTATACTTCACGAATCTGAATTTAATCACTTATTATGACCTGATTATTTTATGTTCATGTAAACAATAATTCTGCACTTGGGCCAACTTTAAATCTTTGCCCTGTTCCTAACGATTTTCTGAACATTTCAGTTAATGAACCAAACTAATATATTCAAATTGAACCAAACTAATGTACTTAATTTTAACTTATTAACATGAAATAGTGTTTTTATTGATACCAGTTAATTAATTTAAATATAACCAAATTATAATTTTCACATTTCATTTAACTTTCCTTCAAAAATTATTTCCATTTCATATCTTACAAACTCTATTAACACCTGGCCAACAGATTACTTAAATATATGTATTAATTGTTAATATAGCCTCAAATGGTGTAAATCCAGGTGGTGCAGATTGACGTTAACTAACCTTAGCAAGTGGTAGCAGTTGGCGTCCGTCGCTAACACGCTAACCAGTACAGCCCTCCTGCTCTTTATAACACTAGAGGCTCCTGCTGCCAGTGACGGCCGGGTATCCAGCATTTAAGTCCAACTAAACTCCACACTGAACCTTCAAGCAATGTTTGTTAAGCTCTGGATGTAGCCTGGTGGAACAAGCCAGGGCTTTTGGCTAGATAACGTTAGCGATTCATTGTCATAATGTTATCAGGTAAATGCGTAAACCCTCTCACGTCCGCTAGCTAATATTAACTACTTAACTAGCCAGGTATAACATTGATTATATGCAAATACTTTTCCTAATTGCTTTTATTTATCGGAGAAATCCACCCAGGATGTAGAGACGATGAAAATGGCGCTCTCTCACGGTCTGGGACTTGGACTTTATCACGTGCTCTGACTGCAGCGTGCAAAGCACAATTCACATTTGACTCATACAAAGAAATTACCTGCAGGTCATGAATAAATATATACATATTGAGAGAAATCAAAAACTTTGTTTTGGATCCTTTGTACGTGCATTTAGTTCAGGTTAAATCAAACTTGACATCTCAAAATCCAAAAAGAATGAGTAACACAATCAAATTGATAATTTTATTGTGTTTACAGTAACAGTCATTAGTTTGAATGAACAGCTACATGTTACACTTTTTTCAGGGCTATCCCTGTCCTCCAATCATAGCCCTGTCCTTCAGTTGTAGCGCTGTCCTCCAATCAATTCAATTCAGTTTATTTCTATAGCGCCAAATTCACAACACGTCATTACAAGGCACTTTCCAGTTCACCAGATCATCCAGTCAGATTGATTCAAAGCTTTCTATCTAAGGAAAACCAGCTGATTGCATCGACTCATTGACTCTTCAGCAATCCCTCACACTAAGCATGCTTGTAGCGACAGTGGAGAGGAAAAACTCCCTTTGAACAGGAAGAAACCTCCAGAAGAACCAGGCTCAGTGTGAGCGGCCATCTGCTGAGGCCCACTGGGGTTCAAGGAGACAGAAGCAGACATAGAAAAAGAAGCATAAATACAAAAGGCAACTGTCAACCAGCTCCACAGGCGGCCCCGTCCAGGAAACACACAGCCAGGCAGACGAGCTCCGAGCCAGCTCCCATGTCAGAGGATGAAGAGAGCACATCCAGTTAGTCACAGTCAGAGAAACAGGACTACACTGGAAAACAGACCAAGCTCCAGCATCTAGAAACAAAGGTGTTGACCAATCTAGAGCTGTTCCTTTAATTCCAACAAAATATTCAAGTCTTTCTAAAAGAAAATTATGATCAACTGGATCAAATGCAGCACTGAGATCCAACAGGACGAGCACAGATACAAGTCCATTATCTGAGGCCATGAGAATATCATTAGTGACTTTCACCAGAGCTGTTTCGGTGCTATGATGAGCTCTAAAGCCAGACTGAAACTCTTCAAAAAGTTCATTATGATGGAAGTGATCGCAAACTTTTTTGACAACTACTTTCTCAAGAATTTTAGATCAGAAAGGAAGATTCGATATAGGTCTATAATTGACCAAGTCATCTGGGTCAAGAGACGGTTTCTTAAGCAAAGGTTTAATTCCAGCAACCTTAAAAGCCTTTGGTACATATTCCTGTAACAGAGATAGATTAATCACATCTAAAATGGAGGAGGAGATCAAAGGGAATACCTCCTTAAATAACCTGGTTGGAACTGGATCTAACATCCAAATTGAAGGCTTAGATGAAGACAATAGTTTTGCTAACTGAAAGTTCAACTGGATCAAAGCAGTCTAAACCCGGTTCAGATTCTATGGCTACCTCAGATGCTGCCCCACCCTCCAGAGACAAACCAATCACGGATAGAGGAGTGCTAATGATCTTATTTTTAATAAGATCAATCTTATTTATAAAGAATCCCGTAAAATCATTGCTGCTAAGAGCAGGTGGAATGGACGGTTCAACAGAGCTATGGCTCTGGGTGAGTTTGGCAACTGGATTAAAAAGAAATCTAGGATTATTCTCATTCTCCTCTATTAATGAGGAGAAATATGCTGCTCTTGCTTTACAAAGGGTCCTCTTATACAGCAGTAAACAATTTTTCCAGACTAAGTAGGAGCCCTATCCTCCAATCATAACCGTCTCAGCCTGTCCTTCATCCTATCTTTGCTCTGCAGTGTGATCCTGCTGCTGGCTCTGCACCTTTGTCTCTTCACCATGATCGGCATGCTGCTATTTGCTAAAAGCGAGGTGAGTGTGTGTGTGTGTGTGTGTGTGTGTGTGTGTGTGTGTGTGTGTGTGTGTGTGTGTGTGTGTGTGTGTGTGTGTGTGTGTGTGTGTGTGTGTGTGTGTGTGTGTGTGTGTGTGTGTGTGTGTGTGTGGTGTCCTCTGGTGTGCCTGTCTGTCTTTGGACATGTTGTTGAATGGAATGCCCCCTAAAATAAGGATGATGGTGTCTTAAATGGTGCCACCAGCACCGGTTGCCATGGCAGCTTAGGTTCTGATGTTAGTCCGGTTGCAGATGAAGTCAAACTTTACCCCTACAAAAGAAGCGTCCCATTGGAGAAAGTAACCACAGAAACAGGCCTGCCTGTGTTCTGCTTTTCACTCACTGCAGCGCCCTCATGGTCGTTCCTTAGGTTGATGGTTCTGGTTCTGGGCCCTGTCTGTTTCTCTGCTCCAGGATCCAAAGAAGAACGGCGAGTGGGAGCTCCACTTCAGAGACATGAGCACGTCCCTGACCTCCCTGCTGGTTCTGCTCACCACAGCCAACAACCCAGATGGTACAGAGGATCTCTGAGCTCAGGTCCTCTATCTGCTACTGCTGCTTTCAAAGCCGTTCTTCTTCTCTGTCGCAGTCATGATCCCCGCCTACTCCCTCAACAGAGGCTACGCCATCTTCTTCATCACTTTCAGCGTCATCGGTAAGCGCTAGGGGTCACCATGACAACCAAGCAGCTCTAACATTGTTAAGGTTAAGGACTATGTTCTGCTTCCTCACAGGGACCTACTGCCTGATGAACCTGCTGACTGCCATCATCTACAACCAGTTCAGGGGATATTTACTGGTGAGCGTTCCTCCCACACACTCCGGGGTTCTGCTGGTCCATGGTTCTGTGGGTTTGGGTTTATGGTGGGTGTCATGGTGGCTTAGCTGTTGGTGCTGAACCTCCACGTCTGGCAGCTCTTTCTTTCTCCCTTTTGCGGTTTGCTGGACCGTCCCCTGTTTCCATGGAGATTAGGGGAGTGTCAGGAAGCAGGATGGGTTTGAGGATCACTGAGCTCACAGACGTTAGAAAATGGTCGACCTGCTTCCACACGGCTAACCGGGTCCACTGAGACCAGAACCTGTCTGAGATGGAGATGAATGCAGGCCTCAGGCCTTGCTGTCCGGACAGTGAAGAACGTCAGGCGGGTCAGAACCTCTGGGTGTGTCTGGTTTGTCATCTGCAACTGAACTGTAGCTAATGTTAATGTGAGTCCAGTAAAGGGCCCCCAATGACATCAGTAACATCCTAAAGCCTGCATTCATGCTGCCCTGCACCATTAAGGTCTATGAACTGGGACAGAGCAGAGACTAGAGGAAGGAGACAGGATGTTGGGGAAGCAGGTCCGTTCTGGTTCAGCCGGTCCAAACAGGTGGGCCGCCTGTTCTGAGCAGAATATTGCTGTGAAAAGGTGAAGCAGCAGATCTGTTGTTCATCCTGAAAGGCAGGAGCTTCTTTAGCTTTGCATGTAGAACGCTTTCTAAGCTAGTTTACCTGCAGAGCCACAGATTCCAGACTCTTTTATTCTCATTCAGGAATCAACCATTGGTAATTCTCATCAAACTTTATTCCATGACAGTTTTAGACAAGAGTACAACAACTGCAGCGCTATGAGCCATTATTGGGCAAGAACAGAACATATGCTGAGTTTGAATCCAGCGGCTGCGTCCTCCGAAGGCCAGATTCGTCGGCTGATAACGACACACGCGGCGCAGCCTGTTCGGATGTGAAGACTCCTCGTTATGCGGCTGACAAATGCAGCCTTCTATTTGCCTGTTCAAAAGGATGGGTCCAGTGTCTCCTCCGTAGTCTTAGGTATCCCAGGATTCATTGCAGGTCCAAGCAAGCCAGCTGCTCAATGATCCGATTAAAAAGGAAAATGGCGCCGAACTGTGGTGAATATTGGGTGTGCCGTTGGATATAATCTAAGTCTGAATAGTTCCGTCTGAAATGAATGAAAATAGTTGTTTTAATGGTTATTGAGTCAGATATGTGGCGGTAATGTTTGGTTTATTGAAAGGTTTTTATCTGTTCCTGTCTAAATGGGTCTGGCTGACATTTAAGCTCAGATTCTAATATCTCTGCAGTGTTTGGACTATAAATCTGATATCTGAGATGATGGTACTGCTGCTGAAGCTCCTCAGAAATGTTATTAGCACCCAGAACAGCAGTGAGAAGTTCAGCATCCATTCTTTACCTGCTTTGTGTGTAAACTTTCACGGTTGTTAGGAGACAGAGCGTATGGGCAGTGAAAGCCGGAGAAGGCTGGACCTGTTTGAATCCACAGCCATACTATTCTGGTCTGCTTAATTTGCCTCTGAAATTGAACACACACATAGATAGAGCGTCTAAATGAATAGAAGGAAGCTGGACTTCTGAGTTGGTTCTGCCCTCTATTGGACATGGGTGGTATGACGCTGCCTGAACATGTTGGTTGTTTTGCTGTGGATTAAGAAACAAGGAGCATTGCAGCTTTTAGGTCCAGCAGAACTCCTGATGAGGGCAGAAAGCATCTTAGCCATGCAGCTCTGAGACAACCTGTAGGAGACCACACCCACTGTTCCTGTTTCTGTCCAGATGTCCGTTCAGACGTCCATCATGAGGAGGCGGCTGGGGATCCGAGCTGCTTTCCATGTCCTGAGCAGCCAGAGAGCCCAGGCTGAGGCACAGTAAGACCCGCCGCTGGTCAATGAATCTGATCAATGGCAGCAGACCACCATTGATGCTTCCTGTTTTTCAGGGAGGTTGTGAGTGTGGATGCCCTCCTCCAGGTGATGTCCAGGGTCCACATGAAGACCTACTATAAATCAGCCATCACTGTGGTCAGAACCAGCTTCACACACACACACACATCTTCATGGTCAGATCGATTCAAAGTTTTCTATCTAAGGAAAACCAGTATGGAATTAAATCTGTGCTGCTGGGATTTAAATTAAAAATGTCACTGAAATATAAATGTATGTTTGTACTTACTCTTTCTGTGTTAAAATATATTCAGAAAACATTTTCAACCTAAAAAGAAATCATTGTGACTATATCTATATAGATGATATTTTATTTACTATTTTCACTTCAAGCTAAAAATTTACATTACTATTTCACAGTTAATACATTTTCAATACGTTTTTTTTTTCAGTTTGACTTTTCAGTGTTAAAAAAAGCAGCATATGAAAAATTCAGCCTTTCAAAATTAAATCTAAATATTTTCAGCCTCCTGAGATTCAACTGGCTCAATTTCACTGTGTTAAATTCAGTGTCTAAATTCAGTGTAAAAGGGGGAAGGGTTACTTCAGGTCACAGACATTAGCAATGGATTGTGGCGTCCAACATCCAGCCAATACCGTTACAGTTTCTTAGTCACGTGACGGGACGTTTGTGGCGCCAAACTGAAGGGAAACCAGCATGACTGAGGTGGTTAGGGAAGCTAACGCTAACACATCTGTGAGTTTATTGCTTTCATTTTTCTGTAGTATTGCAGCAAGTTGCAATTGCAAGCAAGTATTGAAAATATACAGGTGCTGGTCATAAAATTAGAATATCATGAAAAAGTAGATTGATTTCAGTAATTCCATTTAAAAAGTGAAACTTGTATATTATATTCATACATTACATACAAACTCATATATTTCAGATGTTTATTTTGTTTAATTTTGATGATTACAAATGACAACAAATGAAAATCTCAAATTCATCATATCAGAAAATTAGAATATTACTGAAGACCAATAAAAACAAAGGATTTATAGAAATGTTGGCCAACTGAAAAGTATGAACATGAAAAGTATGAGCATGTACAGCACTCAGTATTTAGTTGGGCCTCCTTTGGCCTGTATTACTGCAGCAATGCGGCGTGGCATGGAGTCGATCAGTCTGTGGCACTGCTCAGGTGTTATGATAGCCCAGGTTGCTCTAATAGTGGCTTTTAGCTCTTCTGAATTGTTGGGTCTGGTGTATTGCATCTTCTTCTTCACAATACCCCATAGATTTTCTATGGGGTTAAGGTCAGGAGAGTTTGCTGGCCAATTAAGAACAGGGATACCATGGTCCTTCAACCAGGTACTGGTAGCTTTGGCACTGTGTGCAGGTGCCAAGTCCTGTTGGAAAATGAAATCTGCATCTCCAAAAAGTTGGTCAGCTGCAGGAAGCATGAAGTGCTCTAAAATTTCCTGGTATGTGGCTGCGTTGACCCTGGACCTCAGAAAACACAATGGACCAACACCAGCAGATGACATGGCACCCCAAACCATCACTGACTGTGGAAACTTTACACTGGACTTCAAGCAACGTGGATGAAGTGCCTCTCTTCTTTTCCTCCAGACTCTGGGACCTTGATTTCCAAAGGAAATGCAAAATTTACTTTCATCAGAGAACATGACTTTGGACCACTCACCAGCAGTCCAGTCCTGTTTCTCTTTAGCCCAGGCAAGACGCTTCTGACGCTGTCTGTGGTTCAAGAGTGGCTTGACACAAGGAATGCGACAGCAGAAACCCATGTCTTTCATACGTCTGTGTGTGGTGGTTCTTGAAGCACTCACTCCAGCTGCAGTCCACTCTTTGTGAATCTCCCCCACATTTTTGAATGGGTTTTGTTTCACAATCCTCTCCAGGGTGCGGTTATCTCTCTTGCTTGTACACTTTTTTCGACCACATCTTTTCCTTCCCTTCGCCTCTCTATTAATGTGCTTGGACACTGAGCTCTGTGAACAGCCAGCCTCTTTAGCGATGACCTTTTGTGTCTTGCCCTCCTTGTGCAAGGTGTCGATGGTCGTCTTTTGGACAACTGTCAAGTCAGCAGTCTTCCCCATGATTGTGTAGCCTATAGAACTAGACTGAAAGACCATTTAAAGGCTTTTGCAGGTGGTTTGAGTTAATTAGCTGATTAGTGTGGCACCAGGGGCCATCAATTTTGAACCTTTTCACAATATTCTAATTTTCTGATATGATGAATTTGAGATTTTCATTTGTTGTCATTTGTAATCATCAAAATTAAACAAAATAAACATCTGAAATATATGAGTTTGTATGTTATGTATGAATATAATATACAAGTTTCACTTTTTAAATGGAATTACTGAAATCAATCTACTTTTTCATGATATTCAAATTTTATGACCAGCACCTGTATTAACTGTGAAATAGTAATGTGAATTTTTAGCTTGAAGTGAAAATAACAAAAAAGTTTAATCTATATAGATATAGTCACAATTATTTTTTTTTTTAGGTTGAAAATGTTTTCTAAATATATTTTAACACAGAAAGAGTAAGTACAAACATACAACATTTATATTTCAGTGATGTTTTTAATTTAAATCCTAGCGGCACAGATTTACTTCCATAAACCAGCTGATTGCATCGACTCATTGACTCTTCAGCAATCCCTCACACTAAGCATGCTTGTAGCAACAGTAGAGAGGAAAAACTCCCTTTGAACAGGAAGAAACCTCCAGCAGAACCAGGCTCAGTGTGAGCGGCCATCTGCCAAGGCCGACTGGGGTTCAAGGAGACAGAAGCAGACATAGAAAAAGAAGCATAGATACAAAAAGCAACTGTCAACCAGCTCCCCAGGTGGCCCCGTCCAGGAAAACACACAGCCAGGCAGACGAGCTCCGAGCCAGCTCCCATGTCAGAGGATGAAGAGAGCACATCCAGTTAGTCACAGTCAGAGAAACAGGACTACACTGATATTACAGCTGATATTTCTCTCCAGGATGGAGTCACAGCCAAACAGGAACAGACCAGATGAAGCTACTATGAGAAAAAGCAAAAAGAGCAGAACATTAGAGATTGAACTAACAGATTCTGCAGAGTGGGAGAATAGATAGAATGAAGCAGAATGATGAAAAAGGGGTCCCTATGTCCTCCAGCAGTCTAAGCCTATAGCAGCATAACTATAGAGATAGCTCAGGATAACCTGAGACACTCTAACTAGAAGCTTTATCAAAAAGGAAAGTTTTAAGCCTAGCCTTAAAAGTAGACAGGGTGTCTGCCTCACGGACTAAAACTGGTAGTTGGTTCCACGGGAGAGGAGCCTGATAACTAAAGCTTTAAAGGTCATCCATGTTCAAATCATGGCAGAATACAATTGATGAGATTAAGTAGAATAGAATAAATACATCCAGTGGAAGGTTCTTGTGCACCATCAGCAAAGCAATTATGTTCCTAGGTTTGGTGGGAGAACAGACTTAGCTTCAATGTAAATTTTTCTGATTGCAATAAAAACACAGCTAAACAGGTCTGTCGTTCTTTGACTTGTTCTGTTCAGGCGGCGCAGCGGTTTGCAGACCGGGGCTTCATTGATCAGCCCCAGTTCAGGACCATCTTTGACGAGCTCGATAAAGATTGCATCAAGGAGGTAGAAGCAGAGTCCGCTGATGCTCCTTTGTCATTAACTCCAGGTTTGAACAGAACCTTTCTCCTTTGCAGCACCCTCCTCTACCTCAGTACACATCTGCAACCCTACAGAGATTTCAGATGGTCTTCAGCCACTACTACATCACTGTCCTGGGAAACCTGGTGGCCCTGGCCAATGTCATTTGCATATGTGTAGGTTCTGCTCACCATGACACGACCGAGATCACTGTAACCAGGCAGGTGGACCACTAATGCTTATCTCCTGTTTCAGACTATCCTGGTGCTGAACTCTGAGAAGACCACGGCAGAAAGGGACAACTACATCCTAGAGGTGAGGCAGCATGGTTCACAGGCTGGGTTACTGAAGTCTCACCCACAGGTGATGAAATACAGGAGGCTGGAGCTTCTTCTGAGGATTCCAGGAAGAGAAGCAGAGGGAGGGCGTGGTTAGAGTCCACCTCAGAACCCTACAAGATAGAGCCTAGGAGGAAAACCAGGAATGAAACATCAGAATCTAAAGATAAACAGTTTTCTTTTTCTTTTTTTTTTTCTTTTATTGGAGCCAAAAGTGGAAAGAACAAAAAAAAAAAAACATATATATATATATATATATATATATATACAAGCATACAAATAAAGATATATATTTATATATATGTACATACATGATGCACATCTTTCTGTGATCACACACAAATCTATACAGGCAGGACAATACTGATAAAGCATCACACCAAAGAAAAAATTCCAAAATTACAATCAAGCAGTTTCAGCTGTTTATTTTTCAATTCTCAACAAGAAAGAAAAAGGAAAAATGCATCTCATCTGGAGCTGCAGTTCACCTCCTGTTATTAATGGTCTCTAGATTATAATAAATTATGACTTTTTTCATTTAGTGGGGGAATAAAAATGAACACAGTCAGATAAAATTAAATCAAACCTTAAACCTCCATCAGAGCCAGCGGTCCTTCACTCACGGCTATGCAGAGAGAGGGCTGCTGCAGCTGGGCTAACGTTAGCCCTGGCTGCTGCAGACGAGCTAACGTTAGCCCTGGCTGCTGCAGACGAGCTAATGTTAGCCCTGGCTGCTGCAAACGGGCTAACGTTAGCCCTGGCTGCTGCAGACGAGCTAACGTTAGCCCTGGCTGCTGCAGACGGGCTAACGTTAGCCCTAGCTGCTGCTGACGGGCTAACGTTAGCCCTGGCTGCTGCAGCTGGGCTAACATTAGCTCTGGCTGCTGCAGCTGGGCTAACATTAGCTCTGGCTGCTGCAGCTGGGCTAACATTAGCTCTGGCTGCTGCAGACGCCTAACGTTAGCCCTGGCTGCTGCAGACGGTCTAACGTTAGCCCTGGCTGCTGCAGACGCCTAACGTTAGCCCTGGCTGCTGCAGCTGGGCTAACATTAGCCCTGGCTGCTGCAGCTGGGCTAACATTAGCCCTGGCTGCTGCAGACGAGCTAACGTTAGCCCTGGCTGCTGCAGACAAGCTAACGTTAGCCCTGGCTGCTGCAGACGGGCTAACGTTAGCCCTGGCTGCTGCTGACGGGCTAACGTTAGCCCTGGCTGCTGCAGCTGGGCTAACATTAGCTCTGGCTGCTGCAGCTGGGCTAACATTAGCTCTGGCTGCTGCAGCTGGGCTAACATTAGCTCTGGCTGCTGCAGACGCCTAACGTTGCCCTGGCTGCTGCAGACGCCTAACGTTAGCCCTGGCTGCTGCAGCTGGGCTAACATTAGCCCTGGCTGCTGCAGACGAGCTAACGTTAGCCCTGGCTGCTGCAGACGAGCTAATGTTAGCCCTGGCTTCTGCAAACGGGCTAACGTTAGCCCTGGCTGCTGCAGACGAGCTAACGTTAGCCCTGGCTGCTGCAGACGGGCTAACGTTAGCCCTGGCTGCTGCTGACGGGCTAACGTTAGCCCTGGCTGCTGCAGCTGGGCTAACATTAGCTCTGGCTGCTGCAGACGCCTAACGTTAGCCCTGGCTGCTGCAGACGGTCTAGCGTTAGCCCTGGCTGCTGCAGACGCCTAACGTTAGCCCTGGCTGCTGCAGCTGGGCTAACATTAGCCCTGGCTGCTGCAGACGGGCTAACATTAGCCCTGGCTGCTGCAGACGAGCTAACGTTAGCCCTGGCTGCTGCAGACGAGCTAACGTTAGCCCTGGCTGCTGCAGACAGGCTAACGTTAGCCCTGGCTGCTGCTGACGGGCTAACGTTAGCCCTGGCTGCTGCAGCTGGGCTAACATTAGCCCTGGCTGCTGCAGCTGGGCTAACATTAGCTCTGGCTGCTGCAGCTGGGCTAACATTAGCTCTGGCTGCTGCAGACGCCTAACGTTGCCCTGGCTGCTGCAGACGCCTAACGTTAGCCCTGGCTGCTGCAGCTGGGCTAACATTAGCCCTGGCTGCTGCAGACGCCTAACGTTGCCCTGGCTGCTGCAGACGCCTAACGTTGCCCTGGCTGCTGCAGACGCCTAAAGTTAGCCCTGGCTGCTGCAGACGGCTAACGTTAGCCCTGGCTGCTGCAGCTGGGCTAACATTAGCCCTGGCTGCTGCAGACGCCTAACGTTAGCCCAGCTGCAGCAGCCAGGGCTAACGTTAGCCGTCAACGTTAGGCCCTGGCTGCTGCAGATGGGCTAACGTTAGCCCTGGCTGCTGCAGACACCTAACGTTAGCCCTGGCTGCTGCAGCTGGGCTAACATTCGCCCTGGCTGCTGCAGACGCCTAACGTTGCCCTGGCTGCTGCAGACGCCTAAACTTAGCCCTGGCTGCTGCAGACGGCTAACGTTAGCCCTGGCTGCTGCAGACGAGCTAACGTTAGCCCTGGCTGCTGCAGACGGGCTAACATTAGCCCTGGCTGCTGCTGACGGGCTAACGTTAGCCCTGGCTGCTGCAGCTGGGCTAACATTAGCTCTGGCTGCTGCAGCTGGGCTAACATTAGCTCTGGCTGCTGCGGACGCCTAACGTTAGCCCTGGCTGCTGCAGACGGTCTAACGTTAGCGCTGGCTGCTGCAGACGCCTAACGTTAGCCCTGGCTGCTGCAGCTGGGCTAACATTAGCCCTGGCTGCTACAGCTGGGCTAACATTAGCCCTGGCTGCTGCAGACGCCTAACGTTGCCCTGGCTGCTGCAGACGCCTAAAGTTAGCCCTGGCTGCTGCAGACGGCTAACGTTAGCCGTCAACGTTAGGCCCTGGCTGCTGCAGATGGGCTAACGTTAGCACTGGCTGCTGCAGACACCTAACGTTAGCCCTGGCTGCTGCAGCTGGGCTAACATTAGCCCTGGCTGCTGCAGACGCCTAACGTTGCCCTGGCTGCTGCAGACGCCTAAAGTTAGCCCTGGCTGCTGCAGACGGCTAACGTTAGCCCTGGCTGCTGCAGACGAGCTAACGTTAGCCCTGGCTGCTGCAGACGGGCTAACGTTAGCCCTGGCTGCTGCAGCTGGGCTAACATTAGCCCTGGCTGCTGCAGACGCCTAACGTTGCCCTGGCTGCTGCAGACGCCTAAAGTTAACCCTGGCTGCTGAAGACGGCTAACGTTAGCCGTCAACGTTAGGCCCTGGCTGCTGCAGATGGGCTAACGTTAGCCCTGGCTGCTGCAGACACCTAACGTTAGCCCTGGCTGCTGCAGACGGCTAACGTTAGCCCTGGCTGCTACAGATGGGCTAACGTTAGCCCTGGCTGCTGCAGACGCCTAACGTTAGCCCTGGCTGCTGCAGACGCCTAACGTTAGCCCTGGCTGCTACAGATGGGCTAACGTTAGCCCTGGCTGCTGCAGACGCCTAACGTTAGCCCTGGCTGCTGCAGACGCCTAACGTTAGCCCTGGCTGCTGCAGATGGGCTAACGTTACCCCTGGCTTCTGCAGACGAGCTAACATTAACCCTGGCTGCTACAGATGGGCTAGGATTAGACCTGGCTGCTGTTACCCTCGGAGGTTTGCTGGTCGCTGCGGTCATCTCAACCTCCTAAATTTTTATTTTAGATTATGCATTAAATCATTAAACAGTAAAGGAACATTTATCAGACTTCCAGTGTAAAAGTAAAGTACGTCTAGCCAGTAAAGATGTAAAGCAATGATCTCCTCTTGAGCAGAGCTTAGCACTAAAGTATGGTTGAGGATACCAAATATAGCAGCTAATATACAAGGTTGCAAATTTACTTTTAAGACAGAGGACATAATTGAAAAGTAGTAAGACCAAAAAATATATAATTTGGGACAAAGTAAGAACATGTGGCCAAGATTGCATGGAGAGCCTTTGCATTTCTCACATATATCCAGAACGTCTGGGGGAAAGTGAGAAAGACTAGATTTAGAGAAAATTAATCCTATGTACAACTTTAAGCTGGATCAAATAAGATGAGACCAGGATGATGAAGATCTGTTATTGGCATCATCCCAAATATCTTGGTTCGACTGGATTCCCAACTCTTTATCCCATTCATTTCTATGTTTGATATTAGATCAACCCTTAGAATTAAATTAAAACTTTAAATCTTTGAAATCGTACCTTTCTGGATGGGATTAAATGCAACATATTTTCCCCCAGGGCTTGTAAACGGTTTTCTATCCCTACTGGACCCGGTTCATGTCCCTCTAAACAAATTGCTGCTCATTTACAGACATTTTTATTGCAGTATAAGTTTTTTTTTCTCTGTTCACTGTAAATATTTGTAAAACAAATATCTGAGAAAAGAATTCAGTCAGTAACGCTTCTAGCCGCCCTGATGCTGAGGTTCTGTCCACTTGTTGGGACCGATGTCCTCCTCACACGTTCTCCGTCTCTTCACTCCCTGCCAGATTATCAACCTCTGCTTCATCCTCTTCTACCTCTTTGAAATGAGTGTGAAGATATTTGCCTTTGGCTGGAGGGGGTACCTGTCCTACAGGAGCAACATATTTGATGGCTTCCTCACCGTTCTCTTACTGGTAAAACACTCAACTCCGCCACAGCTTTCAAACCAACTGATTCAGGCTGCGCCTTCAATCCTCTCCAGGAAAGGCAACAGAGTAACTCCAGGTGTGGGTGGGCAGACATCCTTACAGCACAGCAGCATCACTCAGGGAGGAAAACCTCTAAATGAACCTAAGCGTGTGACTTAGTAGACATTGAGTGGTTGACTTTGCAGCAATGCCTCACATTCTGCATCCTTGCAGCAGGAGAATTTGAGGCCCAAATGTTCTCTAGAACCACAGCTGTATTCTAGGATCTTAGATCTAAGGCTTGTTTGTTCACATGCTGTCAATGTGGAACTAAAACATCATGCAAGATCATTACTTTCACAGCAGAATTTAATGTTGGTTTCTGTCTCTGTGGATTTTCTCCATCTAGATCCTACAGATTGCTATATTCATCACCTACAGGCTTCCATACTCCCAGTGAGTCTGATTCTGTGACCTCCTCTAACTGTTGAGGCAGAGTTTGAATTCATGCAGTAGTGGAAGTTTACCAGCCATTTGGATTAAACGTGAGCAGATGTCCTGTAGGTCTCCCCATGGCCGCTCTCAGTAGACTCTCTGTCTGTGACCACAGGGAGCCCTCGGCTCATGCTGGGATGTCTCTGTGGGAGATGATTCGTCTGGTCAACATGCTAATCGTCTTCCGCTTCCTGCGCATCATCCCAGATATCAAGGTACAAACACACCTGCTGAGACCATGGACTAAGCTACCATCCATCCATCATTCATCCATCATTCATCATCCATTCATCCATCCATCCATCCATCCATCCATCTGGCTCATTTACAGAAATGTTTATTGATGTGCACTGTCCCTGTTCAAATAAACAGATAAATAAAAAATAAAATCCATCCATCCATCCATCCATCCATTCATCATTCCTCCATCCATCCATCCATCCATTCATCCATCCATCCATCCATCCATCCATCCATCAATCCCCCATCCATCCATTCATCGTTCCTCCATCATCCATCCATTCATCATCATCCATCCCCATCCTTCCATCCATCTCCCATCCAATTCAACTCAATTCAATTCATTTTTTTCTATAGCTCCAATTCACAACACGTCATCTCAGAACACTTTCCAGTTCACCAGATCATCCAGTCAGATTGATTCAAAGTTTTCTATCTAAGGAAAACCAGCTGATTGCATCGACTTATTGACTCTTCAGCAATCCCTCACACTAAGAATGCTTGTAGCGACAGTGGAGAGGAAAAACTCCCTTTTAACAGGAAGAAACCTCCAGCAGAACCAGGCTCAGAGTGAGCGGCCATCTGCTGAGGCCGACTGGGGTTCAAGGAGACAGAAGCAGACATAGAAAAAGAAGCATAGATACAAAAGGCAACTGTCAACCAGCTCCACAGGCGGCCCCGTCCAGGAAACACAGCCAGGCAGACGAGCTCATACATCTAGAAACAAAGGTGTTGATGGCAGCAGCACAGCTGATATTTCTCTCCAGGATGGAGTCACAGCCAAACAGGAACAGACCAGATGAAGCTACTATGAGAAAAAGCAGAGAGAGCAGAACGTTAGAGATTGAACTAACAGATTCTGCAGAGTGGGAGAATAGAGAGAGAATGAAGCAGAATGAGGAAAAAGGGGTCCCTATGTCCTCCAGCAGTCTAAGCCTATAGCAGCATAACTATAGAGATAGCTCAGGATAACCTGAGCCACTCTAACTAGAAGCTTTATCAAAAAGGAAAGTTTTAAGCCTAGCCTTAAAAGTAGACAGGGTGTCTGCCTCACGGATAGAAGTGAGTATTGGCATGAATGTTGCGATTCGATACATGTCGCGATACTTGGGTCATGATACGATATTATCGCGATATTGCAGTATCACTATATATTGCCATATTTTCCCCAGCTATCAAAATCAAATGATGAGATAAAACAGCAAGTGCCGTATATTTTCATCAGAAAATATTGATTAGGTATTATTATCCATGTTGTTTGGGTTGCTGCCCATTTTCCCATCAATGTTTTATGTAACCATTTTTTTTTTAAATCGATACTAAGAAGTGAAAGATCGATATTATATTGGGCAGCCGAATATCACGATATATCGCCAAAACGATTATTTCCCACACCCCTACTCACGGACTAAAACTGGTAGTTGGTTCCACAGGAGAGGAGCCTGATAACTAAAAGATCTGCCTCCCATTCTACTTTTAGAAATTCTAGGAACCACTAGTAAACCTGCAGATTGAGAGCGAAGTGCTCTGTTAGGAACATAAGGAACAATCAGATCTCTGATATCAGATGGAGCTTGGCCATTTAAGGCTTTATATGTGAAAAGGAGGATTTTAAAATCTATTCTGGATTTAACAGGAAGCCAATGAAGAGAAGCCAGGATAGGAGAGCTTCAAATAGAACTGTATGTTTGGTGATGACTCTGCCTCTTAGACAGTAGGTTCCCAGAACCTGTTTCCCAGTCTGTTTACTTTGTTTCCAACAGAAGCCTGCAGTTTATTTTTCTGCATAAAAAAAAGACCTAAACTTTCAATACCTAGATCAGTTTTCCTCAAGTTTATTTTTTTAAGCTTAGTATTTCTTCCAAACTGAAACTCCACAGGTTAAAACTAGAGGCCTTAATTAATGTATGTCTGCTTCTTTTTCTATGTCTGCTTCTGTCTCCTTGAACCCCAGTGGGCCTCAGCAGATGGCCGCTCACTCTGAGCCTGGTTCTGCTGGAGGTTTCTTCCTGTTCAAAGGGAGTTTTTCCTCTCCACTGTCGCTACAAGCATGCTTAGTGTGAGGGATTGCTGAAGAGTCAATTAATCGATGCAATCAGCTGGTTTTCCTTAGATAGAAAACTGAATCAATCTGACTGGATGATCTGGTGAACTGGAAAGTGCCTGGAGATGATATGATGTGAATTGGAGCTATAGAAATAAACTGAATTGAATTGTTTAAAAACAGTGAATCAGTTCGTCTGAGTTTATGTAATAACCCAAAATCCTCTTCAGATCTCATATAGAGCCTGTTAGAGATCCTAACATTTTTTCCTGCTTTGTCTGCAGCTCATGGCGTTGGTTGCTAGCACTTTGTTAGATCTGGTGAAGAACCTCCGAGCGTTTGCTGGGGTCCTGGTGGTGAGTACCGTCACCACCCACATGGTGAACATTTCTCATTCTTCCTCATATCTTCTCTGCTGTAACGTGCTGTGTGCAGGTGGTGTACTATGTGTTTGCAGTGTTTGGGATCTGGCTATTTGAGGGCGCCATTAAACCTCCTCTAGGAATGAGGTAGGAAAACCCAAGGTTCCTTAGGTTCTGGTTAAATCCATTATTACTGCTGGTTTTACTGGTGTTCTTCCATAAAGACCCAGAAAGCCTTCTCCATCCGGGTCCCTGCTCCAGCTGAGGGCCTTTCCTCCTGGTGCGAATGCTCTAACGCTGTTCACTGATGCCCCCCAGTGCCCCCCTCATGGACAACAGCACGTCTAACTCCAGCACGGCCTGTGGAACCTATGAACAGCTCGGATACTGGCCCAACAACTTTGATGATTTCGCTGTGAGTATTATCAGTCAGGCTGGAGCTGCTCTGGGTGTTTAACAAAAAACTTTAACTTCATTCAGTCAAAGCATCAGTTTTACAGTTTCATCTGCAGCGGTTTAAAGGAGAAATCCAGTCAGTAAGGAATAATCAATGGATCATTATTTATATCTAAAACTAATAAGTTCGCTGTGATTTCATCAATTTTGTGTTAATCAGTTAAACAAAACCATAATTTTCATCGCAATCACTGAGTCTGGGAGCGGCCATTTTTGCCCAAATATAGTAACCCCTCCCTCCTGCCATCTTCCAGCAGTGACGTCACGGTGCGGTAAGCCTAGCGCCATTCTCCCCGCTTTACAAGCTAAATCAATGGGAACTACTAGACACATCTGCAATCAACAATTATTGAAGATTTCTAGAGGACTTCACCATTGAAATTCACCAGAGCTATAGTGAAACTGACAATGCCCACGTGCATGGCAGCTGGATGTTGGAATACATCAGGTAAAAGTGAAAAAAAGAGTTATTCCACTTTTCTGATTCCTGATCCTCCACGGACGGGTTGGTCGTTGGATCGCCAACTTGAAGAGGGAGGATTTGCCATCGAACTTCTGGCCAGAGAAAAAACAAGTAATATGTAGCCAACATTTGGAAGAAGAATGTTTTCAAGATGACTTGGATAATAGCGCGTTGTGACAAACACCAGATACAGCACTGGGACTTGATCAACAGCCGATACCGCACAGTGACGTCACACACCAGTAGGTGGCAGTATTGTTCTTTGACAAACATGGATGCCTCCAGTAAAGCACATTCACATGAAAATTACTCTGAATTAAAAACACTGATCATTTATTGAACAGGATGGAATAATTTCAGATTTAAAGAACTTTCAGAAGTTTGAATTCTGAATATGAGCGACTTTTCCTTTAAAGGCTACACAGTCTTTAACTCTGTCTATGTGCTAAAGATGATGTGGGCGTTAGTGTTCAGTGAGATGAGTGTCCTCTCTGTCTCCACCAGGCAGCCATCATTCTGCTCTACGACGTCATGATAGTCAACAACTGGCAGGCCTTTATGGAGGCGTACAGCAGATACACCTCAGAGTGAGACAGCTGCACACCCTGATCATTGGTTACTATGGTGATGGTGGTGATGATGAGGATATGTGTCTCCCCAGGTGGTCCAAGATCTACTTCGTCTGCTGGTGGCTCACCTCCTCAGTGATGTGGGTCAACCTGTTTGTTGCTCTCATCTTGGAGGTCAGTTCATCACTGCTAGTGACTCCAGTTTGACCTCTGACCTTCTCAAACCTGAAACCTTTATTGACTCCAAACAGCTGAGCGTCACCTTATGGCTCAGAGTGTTTAGGTTTGGGTCTAGATGGTGGTCCTTTCTTCACTCCTCAGAACTTTAGAGAACCTTTAGCTACATCGATGTGCCGCATCAACCAATCAGAGCAGCTGATCTGGGAGCTGACAGGGAGTCAGACACAGCACTGCTGATGCAGAGCGCTATGATCACTCCTCTGAAACAGTTTATTAACGCCTCAATTAACTTCAAATGTAGAAACCTGCCGGCAGAATATGTTGGCTTTTATTATCCTGCTGCCTGCAGTTTGTAGCACAGACCTGAAAAACGCTAACATCTACTTCCAGCCGCCACCAACAATAGGGGAAAACCCCCAAGAGGCGAGCGGGCCTGAGGCAGCTGCTGCTGGGGATTCCCAGTGACGGCGCAACGCCGGTATATGGGGGTCTGAGCGGCTCCCACAGAGAAATAATCTTTGAAGGCAGGATGGTAATCTGGATGAACTGACTGCACAGACCATGTTTTCAGGAGGACTTTCTCACTTCAACATAGATTCAAACTACTTTTTACTAGTGTTGCACCGATACTGATACCAGTATCAGGCGGGGCCCCGATCCAGCACTAAAATGGTGGTATCGGTATCGGCAAGTGCCAACAAATAGGGCACCGATACCATTTTGAGAGCCATAAGTTTCTTCAACTATTGTCACCCACTCCTGGTAGGCAATAAAAAATTCTACTGGATTCACTTTGTATTAGATTTTTTCCTGCTTCACAAAGGTAGGCAGCAGCACGACAACGCCATGATGGCAATTATTTTACATTATTATGGTATCGGTATCGGCCGATACTGCACAGCCAGGTATTGGGTAGCGGTATTGGTGCCAAAAAATGGCATCGGCGCAACACTAATTATAACCCACTGATCACAGCAAACATAGCAAAGCTGCTCTCTGGCATTGAACAGGGGGGCAGCAGAAGCATCAGACGCATCTTTACTGGACGTCTGACCTTAATGTGGATCAAAGAATCAGAATTGAAGCAGCAGAAGCTTCTTTGCTGCTGAAATGGTGCTCCATGTGAAGATTAGAGGGGCAGCCTGATGGTTCCTCCTGAATCAGTGAAGAAAAGCCATTTATTCATGTCTTCTTTTAGACTGTTGCAGAATAACATGCTGTTTATTATCTGTCTTTATTCTGTCGCAATCCGTTTGTAGTGTGAACAGTCCTGTTCACTAATCTGTGATTGACATCATTCAGAAGACTCTAAGATGAGGCACGGTGGTGGAAGGTGATTAGTTCTGACTATGGGTTCTGATTTCTGCTGCAGAACTTCATTTACAAGTGGGACCGCAGCCACAGCTGCTCTGTTACCGACGTGGAGAAGATCCGATACGAAACTTCAGTGCAGTTCATGTTCAGGTAGGTGGACACTGGCTCGCTGCTGGTGGGGCTCCTGACCCTCCGCTGGTCATCACTCACCTTTCTGTTTGACCTTTTAGGGAGCAGATCCCAGAACCCACTGAAGAGGAGCTGGTGTGTCAGCTCCACCGGCACCCCCACCTCCACCTGGACTGCTGACAGCACCACCGTCTGCAGGAGGAGCACGACACAGTTCTCTGTTTCACTCTTCGTTCAAACTTAGGTTTTTACTTCTAAACTCTGTTTAAACGGTTTTAATTGAGTCTAAACGTCCCCAGAACCAGAAACGTCCTGAGGGGTCTGATCGGGTCCAGTTATGTCAGAACCAAGTCACGCTGAGGACAGTTTCCTTCAAATGGGACATTGGACGCGGCTGTTTAGCTCCTGGTGAGCTAGCCCAGCCGTTATGGAGCTGCCATCATGTTTTCTCACCAGTCTGGATGTTTTTGATCAGCCATCTCTGACGTGTTTGAGCGGTTCTGGTTCCAGTTCACACAGAATGACTCCTGCAACAGATCACTCTGACACAGAAACCAATACAGGCCTTCCAACTTTAAAAAGCGACTCGCCCTGAAATGGACGCCATAATAGCTCAGAGTGAATTTAAGAACAGAAGCGGAAGACTTTGTTTTGTTTGTCTATTTTTAAAAATATTTGTTGGGATGATGAGTTTTTAGCCAGTATGGGAATTTTATCCACTGAGGAGGACAAATCCTAAAACATACAGGAAACACGTTGCTTAGCAGAATAAAGAGACACACACTGAGTGAGGGGCCCTCTCTGCCCACAGGGGCCCTGCCTGATGATAATTGGCCCCCATTCTCTGGGCCCCCTGACCAACACTAGCACCAGGACTTAAAGGGAAACTCACTGTATTGTTTAAATCTCACAGGGAGGGGGTCTATGTGGAGCAGGGTGCATTGGGGCCTGATTGGGGGCCACAGTAGGACTACAGTATATATGAAACAACTTTAGCTGAAAGCTTCAAGTCTGATTTCTGCAAAAAAACATTTTATTTAACTTGAACAAAGGTGAAAAGGGAAAATTGTTGGAGCTCCTTCCTTCTGCTGTTATTTATGGGAATCCTGATTGGACTCATTTTATTATGGAGATCAGATTATTTTATGATGATGACGTGATTCCTGAAAAAATAAACACCTTTAACCAAAGCTTGATCTTTTACTCCTCTTTATTTCCCTAAAGCCGTGAAATGCTCATTATTCAAACAATCAGCAGCAGAGAAAGGAAGATGAAGGAAAGGAAGCAGTAAACAGACCACATTTAATCGTTTTAACTTTTTCCCCAATTGGAGTTATTTTGATGTTAATTAGATTATCATGATTTACTCCTTTGGGAATCTTTGCTAATTTATTAGATTTTGGTCCTGGGCAAGACACTGTCTGGATGCAGTAAAGAGTGGGTAACAGTAGAGAAGCTGCAGAGATGTGTGTTAAACTACAACTCTGCTTCCTGGTCTGCACCCTGGGTGGTCAGGGTTTTGGAGGACTAATAAATGTGGCCAGATTCCTAGAAAGAAGAGCTGCACCATCCAAAGTGGGATGGATGCCGTCTCTCCGAATCAGACCAGGCTTTCCCCAAAAGGATTGCCAGTTATTAATGTTGCCGACGTTGTTTTCAGGGCACCACCTAGACAACTAGCGGTTGAATGACGACATGCGGCTAAACATGTCATCACTGGTCAGATCAGGGAGGGGACTAGAGAAAATTAATGGGGGTGTTTCCTATAAAGTAGCACCAGCTGGATGACAGACAGAAATAACATTACAAACATTTCACTTCCTGTCTACTTGATGTTGGCCAGTTAGCAGAGCAGAGATCCATTATCTGATCAGAACAAAATGGCAGAAATAAAAGACATTCATAAAAAAACAAAACAACAGAAAGGGGATCAGAAGAGAAGAGAGTTTATTTAGTAAAGTTAGGCTGGATCACATAGGTGTGCATTAAAGCAAAGACTGGCTCTAAGGAGCGGAACGTGGTGAAACTAAACAATGGACGTAGAAAAGATGGCGCTTCAGTACATCTCAGCTTAAGGTTAACTGATTTATTTCATTTGAGTTTAATATGGGGAAAAAGTCAGAACTCTGATTTTATTTCCATATTAAGCTGTGATAAAATAAAGATCAGTTAACCTTGTAATTTATTTCCTTGTGGCCCTAATCCTCTTCCGTAAAAACCAGCAACATGGTGGAAAAATCAGAGGAAAACAAACCTGGTTTTCTGTTTGCAACAACAAGCCAGCAGGGGTCGCTGTTCTACAAGGAAAATCAGAGGAAGGAATTTACAGACACTAATGATGGATTATTTTAATAACTGATATTGGTCAGACCCAAGTTATTATAAAAAAACATTTATGGCTTCAAAAACCGAAAACAAAACATCACTCTATTTTCAACAATAGAAAACATGACCCAGGGGCGGATGTAGGAAATGTGGGGCCCTAGGCAAAGACAGGCAAGGGTCCCTCTGAATTGAGAAGGCAACACATAAAAAAGACCCATTCTACTATGGAAGCAAATCGTTACCATATTTAAAATGAAAAAGCATTTCCAGATATGCTTTGTTATTTTAAGAATGTGGTCTGCCTGCAAAGTACTGTCCATAACTCGAAAACGACAAAGCATTCTGAGGGGCGGGCGCAGCAGAGTGACGTCAGCAGCCGCTCTTCCTCAGGTTCTTGCTGACCGGGCTACCCATCTTGTTCGGTAGGGGGCGCTGTGCACGTCTGCATTGCATTATATTGTAGACAAGCCATGATCTGCTTATCTGTTCTCCATTTTTCATTTGGATGAAATAATAGCTGCATGAATCATGACAGCAGACAAGATAGAGGAGAGCAGGAGGCGGGGTTAGCAATCTACTTGCTCTGGAGAGCAGAGTTCGCTGCTTTTAGATGTTGTCTCCAAAGTCTCCAGTAGCAGAAAAAAAGTCTCTAGATTTGGCGCTAGGAGCTTTTTAGAATTCAAAGTGCTAGAGTGGTCTGAAAAGTGGCTAAATATAGCGACTAAAGCGCTAAGTTGGCAACACTGCTCTTTGCATGGTCATACTTGGTAATGGAAATGTAATGAGCATCTAAGGAAAACATGAACACTAATGTTATATCAGTGTTTAAATCCTTAGTGAATAAAGCTTGTCTAAGCTTTAGCAATAGCTCAACAGAGGTTTTCACACCTCTGGTGGCTTCCATGTGACTGCTTTGGCTGAAAAGGGGGGGGGGGGGGGGTGCAGAAGTCCCCCAGCTGTTATTCACCAAAGCTGCTTGTTCTCCTCTGGTTATCCTGTCAAGATGAAATATGGACACTGGTTCCCAATGTCCAAAAAGTATGATCATGGCATATGGCATAACAAAGGTATATCAATAATTAAAAAGAAAGAAGCAGAAAGATGGCAAAAAATATGGGATGAAGATGAGAAAGAAGATGATTGTAAAGGATTCAAAAATCTGTAATACTTAAAACATTATGCAGAAAGAGGCAGAAGGAGGAGATCAGCTCCTCAAGACTAAGAACTGAGTTTTTGTTTCTACTAGGGAAGAGAAATAATGATAAATGTGAGGGCTGTGGAGGAAAAGAAAAGATGGATCCAGTTTTGATGAATTGCTATAAATATGCATCCGAAAGAGAGGTTGAGGGAAGTAATTAATTCAATTTCAATTCAGTTTATTTATATAGCGCCAAATTCACAACACATGTCATCTCAAGGCACTTTACAGTTCAACCAGATCATACAGTCAAATTGATACAAAGTTTTCTATCTAAGGAAAACCAGTTGATTGCATTGACTCATTGACTCAAATACAATCCCCCACACTAAGCATGCTTGTAGCGACAGTGGAGAGGAAAAACTCCCTTTTAACAGGAAGAAACCTCCAGCAGAACCAGGCTCAGTGTGAGCGGCCATCTGCCGAGGCCGACTGGGGTTCAAGGAGACAGAAGCAGAGATACAAAAAGCAGCTGTAAAAGGCGGCCCCGTCCAGGAAACACACAGCCAGGCAGACGAGCTCCAAGGCAGCTCCCATGCCAGAGGACGAAGAGAGCACATCCACTCAGTCACAGTCAGAGAAACAGGACCACACTGGAAAACAGGCCGATCTCCAACATCTATAAACAAGGGTGTTGATAGAAGCAGCACAGCTGATGTTTCTTTCCAGGATGACGTCACAGCCAAACAGGAACAGACGAGGCAAAGCTACTCTGAGGAAAAGCAGAGAGAGCAGAAGGTTAGAGATTGAACTAACAGATTCTGTAGAATAGGAGAACAGAGAGAGAATGAAGCAGAATGATGAAATAGGGGTCCCTATGTCCTCCAAAAGTCTAAGCCTATAGCAGCATAACTATAGAGATAGCTCAGGATAACCTGAGCCACTCTAACTATAAGCTTTATCAAAAAGGAAAGTTTTAAGCCTAGCCTTAAAAGTAGACAGGGTGTCTGCCTCACAGACTAAAACTGGTAGTTGGTTCCACAGGAGAGGAGCCTGATAACTAAAAGATCTGCCTCCCATTCTACTTTTAGAAATTCTAGGAACCACTAGTAAACTTGCAGATCTAGAGCGAAGTGCTCTGTTAGGAAAATAAGGAACAATCAGATCTCTGATATAAGATGGAGCTTGGCCATTTAAGGCTTTATATGTGAGAAGGAGGATTTTAAATTCTATTCTTGATTTAACAGGAAGCCAATGAAGAGAAGCCAGGATAGGCGAGATATGATCTCTCTTTTTAATTTTCATTAGAACTCTGGCTGCAGCATTTTGGATCAGCTGAAGGCTTTTAACTACAGTTTGTGGACTTCCTGATAGTAAAGAATTACAATAGTCCAGCCTTGAAGTAACAAATGCATGGACTAGTTTCTCAGCATCACCCCTGGCCAGGATATTTCTAATTTTTGCAATGTTCCTCAGATGAAAGAAGGAAATTCTAGAAACCTCTTTGATATGGGATTTAAATGACAGGTCCTGATCAAAAATAACACCAAGATTTTTTACTTTATTATCTGAAATCAGTTTAATCCCATCCAAATGAAGTGACTGGCTAATCAGTTTCTTTTTTAGAGACTCTGGTCCAAAGACTATAACTTCTGTTTTGTCTGCATTCAGAACCAGAAAGTTAAGAGTCATCCAGGTTTTTATGTCTTCAAGACATGCCTGTAATCTATGTAATGGGTTAGCTTCATCTGGATTTATAGACAGATATAGCTGGGTATCATCAGCATAACAGTGGAAATTAATCCCATGCTGTCTAATAATTCTACCAATTGGGAGCATGTATAAAGTAAAGAGAATTGGTCCTAGCACTGATCCCTGTGGTACTCCACAGGTAACCTTTGAGCATGAGGAAGATTTGTCATTAATGTGAACAAACTGAAATCGATCAGATAGATCAGATTTAAACCAGTCTAGTGCTGTTCCTTTAATTCCAACAAAATATTCAAGTCTTTCTAAAAGAATATTATGGTCAACTGTATCAAATGCAGCACTAAGATCCAACAGGACGAGCACAGATACAAGTCCATTATCTGAGGCCATGAGAATATCATTAGTGACTTTCACCAGAGCTGTTTCAGTGCTATGATGAGCTCTAAAGCCAGACTGAAACTCTTCAAAAAGTTCATTATGGTGGAAGTGATCGCAAACTTGTTTGGCAACTACTTTCTCAAGAATTTTGGATAAGAAAGGAAGATTGGATATAGGTCTATAATTGACCAAGTCATCTGGGTCAAGAGACGGTTTCTTAAGCAGAGGTTTAATTACAGCAATCTTAAAAGCTTTAGGTACATATCCATGTAACAGAGATAGATTAATCACATCTAAAATGGAGGAGGAGATCAAAGGGAATACCTCCTTAAATAACCTGGTTGGAACTGGATCTAACGTACAAGTTGAATGCTTAGATGAAGACAATAATTTTGCTAATTCAGAGAGTTCAACTGGATCAAAGCAGTCTAAACCCGGTTCAGATTCCATGACTACCTCAGGTACAATCGCGGATAGAGGAGTGCTTATGATCTTATTTTTAATAAGATCAATCTTATTTATAAAGAATCCCATAAAATCATTGCTGCTAAGAGCAGGTGGAATGGACGGTTCAACAGAGCTATGGCTCTGGGTGAGTTTGGCAACTGTATTAAAAAGAAATCTAGGATTATTCTTATT